CGGGTAGCGAAAGAATGCGAAATCATCTACCCATTTCTTCAGGGCATCCACCCCCCACGCGACGTAGATCGCCGCCATGCAATCCGCGACTCTGCCCCACACGCCTGGTGAGCTGGCCGGTCCGAACGGGGCGTTGTGGTCTATCCAGTACTGCCCCCGCCAGTGGACTACGAAGTGTCGTTGCTGGTTCGGGCGGATAGGAATGCACCTGAACGCCGCATCCACGTCGAGCGTGGCCACTTGGGTACCCGGCGGCGCCTCCATAACCAAGAGCGCCATCTCCGCAAACGATCCCCACTCGCATTGGAACAGGTCGGTATCGATTTCGCTATTGACTGACGAGTGCGATCGGTCGTTGCGTGGATACGAAAAATCTTGAATCATGCGCATTTCCGACGAACCGGCCTTTGGTACCGCTCCTAGTGGTGAGGTTCGGAAAGGCCCCACGCGCTCCTCGAGTTGGGCTTTCGAGAACGGGCCGGAATAACGCCCGGCTCGCCTCTCCTTCTCCACATAAGCGTCGATGGCTTCGCTGTTATCGAGGGCCGAACGATGGTTCGGGGGGTCATAGGATTCTATTAGTACGGAGGAGACTCCCATGTCGAAGCCCGTCCTGATGCTCGATGTGATCTCCGGGAACCTGTCCCGCAGGCCGAAGTCGTCCAGCGCCTCGTCCCAGCGAGGCGCGTTGAATGGCGTGATGATCGGGAATGGGTCAGCACACGGTGGTGCAGGTTTGGGCGCCGTGATTTGTGCCCCCGCAGAGGGTGCAACGGTGGTCGCCCTTGACGCATGGTCCGGCGTCTTGTTTCGTGCACCCTTTGGCCATGTTGAAGTAAAAGCAGAAGTGTCGCCCTTTGGCGTCTCTGACCGAACGATCTTCGCCACGCGTGAGTAGAATCGGCTGCCCGTTGATGAGAGTTTCGGCTCCGCATGTCGAGGCTCTGTGGCCCTTGCCGCCGCAGAAGAAGCATCGCGCATTGACGGGCTTGGGCTGAAAGGGTTGGGCCCGCCCCGACGCGGGTCTCGCCGCCTGGTCCGCTTTGGGGGCGACACTGCGTGTTGCGTTGGCGGCCCGAAAGGGCTGCAACGACGCCATTACTTGCGCCTTGATGTGCGCTGGCTCCACCTTCCTCCAGATGTTCCTATGGAACGTGCCTGGGTCTATACCCTCGAGGTGGCACCGCCGACGGACCTCCGCGTCGTACGCCAACCAGAGCATCCAATTCTCCGACGTGGCCCCGTCCGAACGGCATATGCGTTCGAAGTGTTTCTTCCATCGCGGGTAGTCGCGGCGAAAGTACGCCTTGATGAGCTGGAGAAGGCGTTTCCACGCCTGGAACCACTCCCCGAACGAGAGTTTCAGCTCTCCTGCCGATGGCAGGACCCTCTCCGCTTGGATCAGCCCTCTCGCTGGGTCGACCGCGTACATGTCCGAGAGGAGGGATGAGGTGTCGCAGCCGTACTCGGCCACGGCCTTGTCGGTAAGGTAGTTCAAGGGTATATGCATTGTCCAGCCCTCCTGGAACTTCTTGCGGATGGGGTCGGGGATCGAGTAACAATCTGCCTTGGCCTGCTTTCCCCTGATGAGCTGGGGGCGGCGTGGGCCCTTGGTCGTCTCCGGAACTCGATGGGTGTACCGGTCTGATGCTACGTGTCGGTTCCGCCGGTGGTTGCTCTGAGACGAGCGGCGGTGGGGGGTTGGGGATGAGCTCCTCGACTGGCTGTAGGTAGAGCCGGTCGAACGCGAGCTCCTCGAGGGCGACCTCGACCCTGACGAGGATCCGCTCGACGACGATGAGGGCTGGGCCTGGCGTCTCCTAGTGCGGCCTCTCCGGTCGTCTTCGTCGTCCCCGTGGCCACGCCCAGGGGAGTTGGACAGAGAGTCCCTCCGTTGTCTCTTCGTCCTGTGCGAGGCGCGACGGCGATGGTGCCGCCCAGAATGCGAGTGATCGCGTGCACGCTTCCGATTGCGGGGGCCCGGCATGGGGCTCCCCCGGCCCGATCGCGTCTCCGAGTCCTGGCTGGATAGCGACTGACGTCTCTCCCGATGCCTTCGGGGACTGGGCTCGTCCTGTCTGGACGGCGTCGGGGATGCCGGCAGAGTCGGAGGCGACGAACCACCTGAGTGAGCGTTAGCCTCTCGCCAAATGGCTGGATGTGGCCCGAGCAGGGCCCTATGGCCGCATGTCCCTGACCATATGGTCGGGGACGGAAGGGAAGAGAAAGAAGGCCATATGGCCGGCCTCGCCGCATATGCGACTCGACCTGATGGGGGAGGGGGCAACAGCCATATGGCTGCCTTGGACCTAACGTTCCAAGGGTGGGGACATATGCCCCGGACCGGTGGATAGGTTCAACAACTCACCCATGTCGTCTGACGGTGGCGGGGGTTGCCCTTCGTCGTCCTCGTCATGATCGTCGCCGCCCGACCTATCCTCTTGGTCGCCATCTGCTGGCTCCCGCTCGTCCTCGTCCTCCTCTTCTTCACTTGGATGTTCGCTATCTCGGGTCGCCTCTGCCTCGGGGAAGATGCCTTGGAAGTGGGAGCCAGAAGCACTCGACGCTTCCTCGATGATGTCCGCTAGCTCCTGCCTCGTAAACAAGGCCTTGTAGTCTGGGTGGTCCATGTAGAACCTGATATCCCCCAGGAGCTTCTGTCTTACACGGGTCTTGAGGACCGCTACTGTGCCTTCCTCGTCGAGCCCGAGGTGCGCTGCCAGTCTCTGAAGCTCTTCCTTGCGCAGCGATGACAGTCGTTTGTTGAATAGCGGCGCCCGTTCGAGCCAAGGAGGCATTATGGTAAATAGAACTACGATTTCTTCGAACAAAAGAATGCGAGGGTGTCGCGCCCTCGACGACCTCGAGTGCGGAAGCAGGCGGCCAGCGAAGGTGACCTCCGCCTCCCAAGAACTGGCACCGCCGCACGTGACCTCCGCTCCGGTGCGCCCACACTTTGTCCCCAAAGCGCGAGCATCACCACATGATGTTTGTTTACCATTCCTCGTGTATCGTGGAACGTTGTTGGGCGATATGCTATGTCCGTCTTCTACGGCTTTGATATGCGTAACGACGACACTTGGCAAGCTACTCAGCGCACAGGCGCTGCAACGCTGCGTTACGAGCCTTCGCGGCCGAGGCTGCTCGTGGCCTATGACATACGCACAAGTCCAAGTTTGGCCTAAGTCCACCCAACCTACATTCGATTAGTTGCCGTTATACAAATTCGGGCGCCTCGGTGCGCCCTGAGTGAGATAACAGACCGACCTGGTGCCTTCTCCTCGTTCCCGATCCCGATTTTAGTCCCGAAGCTCGAGTGAGACATCCCGGTCCTGCTATGTATACGGTATTCAATACATCCGAACGTGGTAGCCACGTCCCGCATGCCTGCGTTGCTAAGTACACGTTGCGCACTAGTTCCAGGCCAGATTTCCCAGTTCAACTGGGGATTGAGCGCATCAGCACAAGAGGAGAAGCTTCGATTTTGAAAATGGCGGGAAGCTACGTTCGAAGTAACGTTCGAACGCTGCCCACTTCGACATGCATTGGATCCCAGAGGCATGGCAACCCGTCGACGTTTGTTCTCTGACCACTCGAGAAGCCATCAGACCGTCCAGCGTGTTCAACGACTCTGTAGTCGCTAGTATAGACCCCACTCGCCCCCGATCTGCGAAGTTAGTTGCGCCGAGTAATTCGCATACCAGGTTGAAACCTGGCCAATTTGAGTAAGCGAGAGTTTACCAACATAGAAAACGTACCTCACTTACGTGATTGTGCTTAATACTTACTCTAGTTCGTGATTAAGCCTCGAACGACTTACTGCGAGGGTCGCTGCAATCCTAGGACCACTGCTTAACTTAACGCTACCAATCTCTGCACTTCTCCAGGATGACCTATAAATCCGTTTCGCCCTTACACCCCAAACGCGTACATGGGTCGTTTCCCGTGATTGAGGCGACTCTTTCGAGGTGAGAATGAACCAAACGCGTAGGCGGCAGAGAGGGTTACGCGCCGTGGGAATACTCCTTCCCACAAGCAAACAGAGGTCTCTCCTTCGTCTTCGAAGTTTGATCATTCGCCATCCACCTGTGATCTTGACTATGCAACTAGACCACACCAATAATCTCAGCCCATACTCTTGAACGCCAATGGGTGGTAGGTCCATGTCCCGATGCGCGCGTTTGGACCTCGCTGACTCAGGACCGTCAAAGTCCGCGCCGTCCACCAATCGCATCGGCAGAGGAGGCACCCGATGAAATCGTGAACTGTGTTACAGCGTATTGTTGGTATGACCTGCACTAGTCATGAACCTGGCAAGGGTGAGTAAGTTGGAAGCAGCAAGTGGGTGAGCCACTTGGGCTCTCCTCGCACTAAGTATACTCATATGCGTCCAATTGGTCCAGGTCAAGTATGAAAGCTGACCATTTCTTATGATGGACAGTCAGACTGTTTATGACAGTGACGACACTCTAACCGTCGCATATGCATCATCGGCATTGTTCCTGTGCCTACGTGCCCTACTCAGAAGTTGTACGTTGTACGTTGAATCCCTCACTCGTTCCGACCAGTACCAATCACAGGTCTAGCAGGTGGTTAGGCTCTATGTCGACGCCTCGAAGCAGCATGCTCTGCGTCCAAAAAAAAAGGAAGCCCCTATATTGGTTTGTGGATTGCCAACGCCGCCGGAGCGCACTCGGTCCAGCGCGTATTATGTAATATGAACGATGACGTTTTCTCTCAACCGATCTTCACGATAGTTCGGCCGAGCGCGGGTTGCGCCCTCTACGTCCATGGCTTATGGAGCGGGTATATGATGCTTACGGCTGGGTCGGGTCGTAAACCAGTCATGCGCTGGCCCCGCCGCCCCGGACCCCAGACCAAAACGAGGCGCCGATCCAGGCGGGGGCTTCGTGCCATGACATCATTCCGTACCGTACCGGGCAGCGCATCCGAGCGCATATATATATCCCGGCTCTGCCTCTTCTCGGTTCTCGTTCTTCGCGGCCGCTTCAGCCTGATTGTATAACCAGTCTAATCTCAACAACCTACTTGACGACTTCGATAATCGTAGCGACATCCTATCCAAACCATGGTTTTGTTCTACGCGCGCGGTGTGCCAATTGGCTACATCGCCGTCATGCTCGCGCTTGTCGCGTCCATGGGCGGTTTTATCTTCGGTTACGATACCGGACAAATCAGTGATATTCTCCTCATGGACGACTTTCTGCAACGATTCGCAACATGTAGCGATAGAGCTGGTACGATGTCCATTACCACTACTAAGAGCGATACTAACTTGAGATCAACAGTCGCATCTACTTGTTCATTTTCTGTGGTACGCGAGGGTTTGATCGTAGCTTTACTTTCAATCGGGACCCTTGTGGGCGCGCTGTTAGGCGCACCGTGAGTATTCCTGGTCAGGTCTGATTCCGAGCATAGCTAATGCGCCTCCGTAGAACGGCCGATATACTTGGCCGTCGCCGCGCTATGCAATGGGAATGCATCGTCTTCATTATAGGCGTCATCGTTCAAATCACCACTTTCCATTCTTGGGAACAGTTCGCGGTTGGACGTCTTATCTCCGGTCTCGGAGTTGGCGCACTCTCTGCCGCTGTCCCGATGTACCAAGCCGAAGCGGGCCCGCCCCAGATTCGTAGCATGCTCACCGCGACTTACCAACTGTTCATCACATTCGGTATCCTCATCGCATACTGTATATCCATCGGCACTCGTTCCATCGGCGGTTCCGGTTCGTGGCGGACCGTTGTCGGTATCGGTATCGCTTGGCCGTTGATCCTCATGCTCGGCATGCAGTTTATGCCCGAATCTCCCCGTTGGCTAACGCGCAAGGGCCGTTTGGAAGATGCCAAGGAGTCCCTAGCGCGTGTGCGTGGTGTGCCGGTTGCGGAGGCGCAAGACCACTGGATCATCACGCGCGAAATAGACGAGATTAAAAGTAGCTGGGAGTACGAGAAGCAGGTCCAAGGTGGCTGGATCGATTGCTTCCGGCCCAGGAACAAGATTCTGTACCGCACGATTCTCGGTGAGTTCTCTTCACGATGTGCGCACGGTCTCAACTGACGCGTGCTTTAGGCATGGCTCTGCAGTCCCTCCAGCAACTCACCGGAGCTAACTACTTCTTCTACTACGGCGCCACGGTCTTCGTGTCTGTCGGCATCCAAGACTCGTATGTTACTCAGATCATCTTGGGCGCAGTCAATTTCGGCTGCACGTTCGGTGGCCTGTACATCATGCAGCGATACGGCCGTCGTCTACCCCTGATGCTTGGAGGTGCTTGGCAGTCGGCTTGGTTGTTCGTATTCGCTGCAGCCGGCACAGCCGTAAACCCAAGGGAAAATAAGGCTATCGGTGAACGTAAGTGCTGTCAATACTCGTCGTCACTTCACAAATTCTGACCGCCTTACCGACAGTCATGATCGTCTCGGCTTGTATGTTCATTTTCGGCTACGCGATGACTTGGGCACCCGGCATTTGGATCATTATCGGCGAGACCTTTCCCACGAGCACCCGCGCCAAGCAAGCCGCATTGGCTACCGCCGCGAATTGGCTGTGGAACTTCCTCCTCGCCTTCTTCACGCCGTTCATCACCCGCGACATCAACTACAGCTACGGCTTTGTCTTCGCGGGCTGCAACCTGGCCGGTGTCATCGTCGTGTACTTCTTCCTCTACGAGTCATCGGACCTCTCTCTCGAGTCCGTCGACCAGATGTACGTCGATCCGGCGTGCAAGCCGTGGAAGTCGAGAACGTGGGCGCCGCCGGGATACGCGGATCGGACGGATCTGATCGAGCAAACGCGGGCGGCGGAGGCGCATAAACCGCTCGCGGGCGCGACCACGGAACATCGGGAGAAGGTGAGCCACGACAGGGGCACTATAGGCAATATGACGCCCGAAGGAGGGGTTCCGGTTAGAGCGGTCTGAGATGTCGCGGCTGGGTGGTCACATACCCATCCAGAGTTGAGAGAAAGAGAAAGAAATGACGGCTCGGAGAATTAAGGTTGTATCATGACATGTTGTAGATTAGGTGTACATCTGTACCACTATAATAATCAAGTAATTCCGAAGTCCTGCAACACCTTTATCCCAGTTAGAGCTGATCTGTCTATGACTTTTTCGGAAAACACGACATTATTGTTCCACGACCTTCTGTGATATTGTAATTTGTATGTGCCCGGCTACAATCTTTATCACGCTCCAAAAATCATCACATTTGTGATGCAACATCGCGAACAGATCAGCTCTACAGCCGTCTGTGAAAGCATAATTGATTCCGGCCTGGGAGCGAGCTCGGTAACAAGCGGAATCCTGATCATCATGACGGACCCACCTATTCTCACGCATACAGCCTGAAAGGACTTAACACACACTTCCCTGGAGCCAAGCTGATCCAAAAACAAAGCTGTCAGTCAGACTTATCCGGGAGCAAACTATTTCATAATCATGGATATACGTTACAACCAGTAACCCGCCCTTGCGCTGCATCCACTTCTGGTCCCTCCCACCAGGGACATTCATTCTTCTGCTGTTCCGCTAGACTAATACTTTGAATTATTGGTCCTTCCCCGGTCACCTGCGTCTCTTCAACCGAACGGGGATCCGACCGAGATTCTGAGACACGTACACGCAACTCTGGAGACGAGTACATATTCCCGTCGTTAGGTCGCCGGACTCTCATCGCTGTTGAACGGCGAGCGCGCTTCGGCGCGTCCAATCCATGGAATACGACCATAGGGACAAGCCAATACCATCCAGACATTCCTCGGCGTCTTCGGCAGTTGAAGTACCCGCCATCAACTCCTCTGGGCCGAGTTCGCCAGCCCTCAATCCTTCGGATAGCAGGCGCAGCGCACGTAAACGCACGAGCTGGACACGGCAGAGCGTCGAAGAGGGCCACGACCCACTCAGCATCATCGACCTTACGCCAACCGAATACGCGATGAGGGGTGTGGCCAGCCCGGCACGGCCCACGTTTCCCGCCCCGTTCGCAGAGGACCCGTTCTACTCACCCCCGGACGATATGGGACCCACGCCCTTCTACTCGACCTCTCAGCCGGGACCGTCCTCGGCATCGCTCATGTCTCGCGACGTGGACACCTCTGACGACCTGCGCGAAGACGATGAGGCCCATCTCACCGCCAACATGTCGCGTCAAGGTTCAAGCGCGGGCCACGAGGGGGCGCACACGTCAACACCACACTCGCGTAAACGGACTATTCGCTACAGCGCGACGCCGTCACCAGGACGTAAAGCCGGTGGGAGGTTGAAAACGGTGTCGCGCAGCTTGCGGAGGGCGTCTTTACGAGTGGTCAACCTCGCGGGCATGGGACTGGAAGATCATGGGAGTTCGATCGCCTCATCTCGCGAGAAGGGGAAGGAAAGGATGGGCGAGGAGTACAACGAGATTCAGCAGGAGGAGGAGGAAGAGGAACTTCCTGATCTCGCAAGAACACTACCAGTACGTGGCCGAACATTGGGTTTCCTAGGGCCGGATAGCAAGTTGCGGTTAGCCATGTATCGAATGTTGGTCTCAAAGTACGTGACTTTGTCTTCAGCTTCGACGCTCTCCTGCTTAACTCGTATCTTCTAGATGGACCGAACCCGTTATTCTTCTTCTCATCATCGCGAACGCTATAATCCTCACCATACAGTCCTCACGCTCTCTCACTTTACCCGACGATGGTGTTCCACTACGCGTCAAAGGCTACTTTCATACCTGGGAAGACTACGCTCTCTTTGTACTATTCATACTTTTCACGTACGTCGTGACATTTCCTTCGAAGTCACTCGATACTGACCGACACGTGCAGCTTAGAAGCCTTTGCTCGTATATGCGTCTCCGGATTCCTGCTAGACCCCGAAATACCTGTAACTTCTATGTTCAGCACCACCCTCTCTTCCGCACAGCCCATGTCCTCAGCAAACGCCACCCTCTCTCGACAAAACTCTCTGCGGCAAGGTCGTAAACCTGGAATCGGACCTCGCCTCTTGTCGTGGCTCCAAACACTCTCTTCCGCTCTTCGTCGGCCATTCGCCCTTGCCCACCACTCCTCCCGCGAGATATCTTCCGCCTCCGCATCCTCCCCTCCTAACCACAACCGCACCGAAACCACCACGACGCTATTCAAGTCCCCTATCGTCGAGAAGGCCATATCCGGCACACAAGAAGCGTACGCGCACATGCGCCAAGGGTCGACATACGCCGCAAATGTCATGCAGTCGGACAAATCCGAGATGCTCTCGCTTCCCTTCCGCCTAAGCGTCAAGCGTGCTCACGACGTGACTCGCCGAAATCTGCCGTACCTCCGCCACAGCTGGAACCGAATCGACTTCGTCGCCGTGGTGAGCTTCTGGGTCACCTTCGCTTTGGCGACGTTTGGCATCGAACACGGTTCGCATCATATCGGCGCGTTCCGCGCCATGAGCGTGTTGCGATGTGCGAGGCTGCTCGCGATCACATCTGGTACAACGGTACGCTTCGTCTTCCTGTTTCTTGAGAGCGGGCTCTCATCGTTGACACGGTGCCTTAGACTATTATGAGGTCATTGAAGATCGCGTTGCCGCTCCTGACCAGCGTGGCCTACTTCGTGGTGTTCGCGATTCTTCTCTTTTCGTACGTAAACTGGCGACCGTATATCCATTGAGCCTATCTGATCATCTTCCACCTGTAGTATCATAGGTGTCCAAACCTTCCAAGGCTCTTTCCGGCGGACATGCTATTTGCTTCCTACACAGGGCGAAGCCGAGCTTCAGATAGATTCGCAGACTTGTGGCGGGTATATCGACAACACGACGCTTGAGACAAGACCTTTCATCAGGAGCGATAATACGACGGGGGAGATCAAAGGTTACATATGCCCCCTTGGACAGATCTGCTTGGTATGCGCATTATCTTGCATCGTGAATTGTACGACCGATTAAGGGATCCACAGGAGGGACCGAACGCCGACGGCAACGCGCAAAGTTTTGATACCATCTATTACGCCATCCTCCAGGTTGTCATCATCGCCTCGGCGAATGGGGTAAGTGCGGTCTTCCTGGTGCGAATTCGGTGTTGACTTGGACGACACTGTAGTGGTCCCCGTTGATGTACGGTATCATCGACTCCGAGTACTTTGCCTCATGTTTCTTCTTCATTATCGCGATCCTCGTGCTGAACTTCTGGCTCATCAACCTGTTTGTCGCGGTGATTACCAATACATTCTCGGCCATTCGCGCGGACACGAACAAGAGTGCCTTCGGTGCTGCCCCGTATGTCCATTATTCAATTTCCTTTACCAGAAGGTAGTGACACCTCTTTTAGTTTGGGACCTATTCGCGACGATGATGACGACATCTATGTCCCTCCCAATGCAACTCGTTTGCCTCGGAATCACTACATGAAGGAATGGTACGAGAAATTGCGTTACATCTGGGTTGCTTTCGCCCTCGCCTCGATAGTCTTACAAGCGACCCGTACTACGGATGTGGCGCAGACGCACAAGCGCGTTCTGGACCTCGGGGAACTGGTCATCACTGGTCTCTTCGACGTCGAGATCATCATTCGTTTCCTCATCGAACTTCCCGACTGGCGCAACTTCTTCAGGCACGGGAACAACTGGCTAGACCTTGTTCTTGCCATTGGCTGTTCTATCATCCAGATACCAGTGATTCGACGCTCCGGCGCATACCCGTGGTTGACGGCGTTCCAGGTCATGAGGTTTTATCGGGTCATCCTGGAGGTGCCCCGAATGAAACCCTTGATGGTGAGTCATCACTTCGGCTTGGGGAAATCATGCTTACACCTTTTGACAGCTATCCGTGTTCGGAAACATGTATGGTTTGGTCAACATGACATTGTTTCTGCTCTTGGTCAACTATCTAGCTGCACTAGTCACTATTCAGCTTCTCCGAGGAGACCTGTCTGCTTCCGCCACCATGAACTTTGGCCAAGTATTTAATGCGTTCCTAGGCGTCTATCAAGTGTTCTCATCGGAGAACTGGACGGATGTACTGTTCGGCGCCATCAGTGCGGAGCTACCTTTGGGTCAAGCTGTTCTCGTCGCCATATTCGTCGCTGGATGGTTCCTGTTTGCCAACTGCAAGTCGCGCATAAAATGGCACATGAAAACAGCGTCGCTGATGATGGTTCTTATGCTTTAGTCATCGTGCTCCAGATGTTCATTGCAGTCATCAACGAGAATTTCGACGTCGCTGAGGAAGCAAAGAAAAGCCGTCAAGCCGCGCAGTACTCTGCGAAGCAACAGCCCCAGCAAGCTCGCTCTGCTTGGGTGCGATGGCTCAATCCATACCGATGGCTTAAACCCAGTCCGAAGGCCATCGCCGTCGAGAACCTCCCGTCGAACCTTATCCTTCCCATGCAGAAGGCGCTAGTCCAGGACTACAGTTCGTCAGGCCTCACTCGTCGTGGCAGTGCGGTAAGTTGCAGTTCTCGCTCACTTAAAGTACACACTCATGTGCGATATCGATTGTAGGGTCGTGTAATCGTTTCCGGGAGAGGGGCCGGCGCCTACGGGACGAGGCTATTCCTGTGGCTAGAGCAGCTTTTCACAGGGCGTTCGCAATCGAACGATATTCCTTTGGCAGCGCTGCGCGAGCCTCGTCACGATTCGCTTTTCTCCCAGAACGTCGATAACGAGGAGCTGGACCGCCATTTGTGAGCATAGACCCCAGTCACGTTTCGCGATGACTGAGCCCGTTGATTTTTAAGCGAAACCTTGGCCATGGTGCGCTCGGAAGCAGCGAGTTCTGGAGAGACAGAAGACGCTTTCTACGAACGAAGGGCGCGAAAGGCAGACTTCATCCGTGATCATCCGACCTACGACAGGACATTCTGGATCTTCTCCCAGAAGAACCCACTGCGTCGCATGTGTCAACGCTTGGTGTATCCCGCGAACGGAGAGCGGATCTTCGGTCTTCCGCCTTCGCCCGTCGCGCATACCATCCTGCAGGTCATCTTGCTTTTGGCTGTTATCGGTGGTATCGCTGTCGAAGGCGTCGCCACACCAGTTTACCGACGCAACTTTTACCTGGAACACGGCCAAATCCGCGGGGCCTGGTTCGATATCGCGGAAAGCGCATTTGGCCTCATGCTGGTCCTGGAATTCCTGATCAAGATCGTCGCGGACGGAGTCATGTTCACGCCAAACTCTTACTTTCGTAGCCTCTGGAACTTCCTTGACTTCCTGATCATGGCCGGGCTTCTCGTTAATCTCACCACAGCTCTCATCTTCATAGGCGGCTTGAGTCGTCTTACCCGCTCTCTGAAGGCTCTCCGCGCCCTCAGGCTCATCACCCTGATTGATAAGATGAGGAAGACATTCGAAGATCTGATAATATCGGGTGCCGTACGGATATTGGACGCTGCATTGCTCGCCATGCTATACATGATTCCATATGCTGTATGGGGTCTGAATATCTTCGCCGGGAAGATGAACGAGTGCAACGATGACGGCGTTGCGGGAGCCTCGCAGTGCGTAGGCGAATACGACACCAACGTTATTGGCGACTCATTCGGCTATCTCGTACCTCGCGTGTGGGACAATCCTTCTCCTTCTACCACGTTCTCTTTCGATTCCTTCCGGGCTTCTCTATTGATCCTCTTCGAGATCGTATCCCTTGAAGGGTGGATTGATGTTCTTGGGGTGGCTACTAGCATTACTGGAGAGGGCAAGCAACCTCAGACCAATGCTTCGGAATTCAACGCCATTTTTTTCCTCATCTACAACCTCATGGGAGGCGTTGTCATCTTGACACTGTTTGTTAGGTAAGTTCCCGATTTTATGTTGGTGTAGGCCGATGTTAAACATTCGTTTTCAGTATCATCATCGCGAACTTCAGCTCGAAGACGGGAGCTGCGTTCCGGACGCAAGCTCAGCGAGAATGGATCGACCTCAAGAAGCTGATCCGACGCCAACGTCCCTCCAAGCGACCCAGGCAGCGACCCACGTCCGGTTTCCGAGCATGGTGCTTTGATCGGGCCGTCCGGAAACATGGATCCTGGTCAAGGTTCATGACAGCCCTCTTTGTCGCACACGTGTTCGCCCTCATGTACGCCTTATTATTATATAGCTAGTGATGGCCGGGTTCACATTTTCTCCCTAGGACGCAAACTTTCAACAGCTCGGACACCCTCACTCTCGTCAGAGGTTCGTACTTCGTTAGGTACCTGCCGTGTTAAAGTGCTCAGGTCATCCTGTAGATTTCTTCTTCCTTGCGGTCGCAGCATTCTACGTAGCCGACGTCCTCATCCGCTTCTACGGGTTAGGCTGGCGCAGTTTCAAAGCCAATGGCTGGAACCTTTTCGATGCTCTCGTGGCTGGGGGAAGTTTGACGACAACTGCTATCGGACAAGTACAGGGTAACCTTGGATTCGTCATGCAGCAGCTTGAGAAGCTCTTTCTCGTCAGCATTGCGTTCAAGCTGGTCCAGCGTACCAATAGCTTGAATAAGCTCTTCAAGACGGCCGTGTACGTCCCTGCTTATTAAGTGATTCACACCGTGCACTGAGATTGCATCTCGGATTTAGCGCGAGTCTGCCCGTCATTCTCAGCCTTCTGGCTCTCTGGCTCACTTTGTTCTTGTTCTTCGCCATTCTTTTCGTTGAAGTGTTCAGTCTCACTAAATGGGGTTCGGCGGAAACAAGGGAGCAAAACTACAGTACCCTAGGCTCTGCTCTCGTTATGCTCGCCTTCATGAGTACTGGGTGAGTATTTGAGCTTGTCCATGGGCCATTGGAGCTGACGCAAGCGCTGATGCAGAGAGGGATGGAACCAATATATGCATGATTAGTGAGTTGCAGCACGTGCCGTACGTCAATTTCCTCATAACGTTGCACAGTGCCCTCGTCTATCCTCGCTGTACAAACTCCTCGAATGTGGACCCGGACTCCGATTGTGGAAGCATCGGATGGGCATTCACATTGTTCATCGCATGGAACCTGCTGAGCATGGTGAGGACAAATCCCTTTGCATGCGACGAGCTCCATAACCTTAATGCCTACCACAGTACATATTTGTCAACATGTTTACTGGTGAGGCACATTGCTAACGTCATGATATGCACGATATACTGACGTTGTCGCAGGTGTGGTTGTCCAATCCTTCGGCTATGTCATGCAAACCACCGGTGGCGCGAAGTCTATCACCCGCGAGGAGATGCGAGCGTTCAAGAAAGTGTGGGGCGAATATGCCAATCCGCGTACGGGCCTCTTAGACCGCACCAACTTCGTCCCATTCTTCGGCGTACGTTCTCGCAAGTGATTATATCCGGCGTGCTGACGCTTCCCGCAGAGACTGAGTGGTATATTCGAAGTGAGGATCTATCCGGCGGAGTACAGCATCCCTAACATCATGGCTCTCTCCGCGCCCGATGGCAACGAACATAAAGTTCTACTCTCCGTCGTAGACAGCGAGAAGAACACAGTCGGCGTGGACACTGGGAAGCTTGGTCAAGTCTTGAGTGGTCTCGATCATAACAAGATCCGACAAAGACGCAACCTGTACATCCGGCTTTATCACGAAGCAAGTGTTCTCTGTCCTCCTGGAAAGGGCATATCCTTTACAGACATGCTTCTTCTCCTGGCTCACTACAAGCTCATCAACGACCACGAGGCGTTAGAGTGAGTTTTCGTCGTGTCTATCGATGAGCTATGGAATTGACAACGACATAGATTGTCGGAGCTTGTTGTGCGGAACGAAATCAACAAGATCGTCACTGATCTAGTCAATCTGGATCGTGTCCGATCGTTGCTCAAGATGATCTCCCACCGCCGACGATACTTGGCTCATAAGCAAAGGCAGCGGCAATCACATCTTAGCCAAGGTAGTTCTCGTTCCCACCTCAACTCAGACATGGTTTGACTTAAGCTTTGTAGACATCCCGGCAATCGTCGTGGATAGCCTTCCACCAACACCACCACCTTTGACCCGCGACATCACGTCACCTGGGGTAGACCGCAGATCATGGTCAGCGCAGTACCAATCACCGGAACAATCACCCACGATGAAGCCCATGGACATGTCTCCTGACGTATCTCTTGGATTCGACTCTGCTTCCAATCTCCGGCGAAGTCGACGCGTCAGCGACATCAGCATGCTCTCTGCAGAGCTGCGACAAGATTATACATTCTCCTCGCGGGAGTCTGTCGGTGTGGACGAGGATCCTCAGCAAGTCGTTGCTGCCATGCAAAATTCTCTCTGGGGAGGTGAGTGCTCACCCGCCTTCACGGTTACAAGGTGGGCTCAGTTTCCATAGAAATGATGTTGCAGGCAGCAGAAGACGAGGACTGAACATAGACGGACCATACTTAACCTTATTTATCATCACCTACATCTCTACGTTCGCTCTTTCTTTAGGAATGGACGGTGCTTATTCACTCATCGGACCAGCGCATATGTACTCTAACCCATTGTTCATACTGTCTGCAATACACTGGGAACGTTGTAATCGGGAAAAAGCGGCATACGGGAAGAGAGCATAAGCGTGTTCGCAAACACAATGACAGAAACGGACATGGTCGTCATATGGGAACGAAATAAGACCCAACAACTCAGGCGCGCCCACGTCCACGGCTCGGGCGCCAGACGTTCTTGCGCTCAGGAACAGTCTGGAAACCGTCGTCTTCCTTGCTCGCAGCAGGGCCGGACTGCGAAGGCGGCAGCGCCGGCGACGCAGGGCGTGGGCTCGGTGCACCACCACCGCCGGCAGCTTGCCGGGCAGCCTCGCGCTCGCGCCAGCCTCCTCCACCCCGGCCGGCGCCGAACGTGGGCGGACGGTACTTGGGCGGTTCCGTGGCAGCAGGGGGTGCAGGACTCTCTGACCTCGAGGGGACCATGCTCGGGCGCACGGGCGTCGGCGGGGCTGTCGTGGTGGGCGTCTGCGTTGTGCGGCGCCATACGCTGCCGCCGTCCGTGCTCGGACGCGCCGCGTGGCCCAGGGCGGAGGTCGGCTCGGCGGGCGTGTTCTTCTCCAACGCGCGAGCTTTGCGGCGCTCCAGCGCTTCCTCTGCGCGCTGCGCCTGCAGGCGTGCCTGTTCCAGCGCGGCCTGGCGTTCGGCTTCGCGTTGGCGGCGTGCTTCGGCCACCTTCTCTTCAGCCTCACGTTTGCGAGCCTCTTCCTCCTCGCGCAAACGAGCCTCTTCGGCAGCAATACGCTCCTCTTCGGCGATGCGCTCTGCACAAGGATGTCAGTATATTCCCAAGGCGATGAAGATGACCATTAGCGAACCTTCCTCGAGACGTCGTTCCTCCTCTTCCTTCTCCCGCTGAATACGCTCTTCTTCCTCCCTCCGTCTCTGTTCCTCCTCCCTCTGCTTCAGCACCGCCTCGCGCCTCTTGCGCTTCTCCTCCTCGATCTTCTTGTACGCCTTCTCTTTCTTCTTCATGTACTCTTCGCCGCGTCTCTCCTCTAACTCCTGCTTCCGCTTCAGGTAATCGTCCATCACGCGGCTCAACCGCTTCTTCGTCTCCATATCCTTCTGGTGCTGAAGCCGTGCACTCTCGAGCTTTCGCTTCTGCAGCGCTTCGAACGTCGCGCGGTCGTTCGCCTGCTGCAATTCGTAGTCCTTGGCAAGCAGCGGCCTTTCCTCGAGGCGGAAGGCGCGCTCGAGATGGTCCATGCGCTTGCCGATGGTCCGCAGGCGCTCGTTGGTCTCGCGTTTCTCCTTCTCCAGCTGCTCCACCTGGAGTTTCATCAACGAGTCCGTGTTCAGGTTCTCCATGTCCTGGGGTTATACACGACCATCAGCACACACTCATGACCGAAAAGAGAGAGGAGCTTACGTCGATGTCGACCTTGAGGTTGCCCCGCGCCTTCAGGTTGGCAGCGAGCTCGGCGGCCTCCTTCTTCCTGATATTCTCGATCTCCCTCATAGCCCGCTCGCGCTCGCGGCGCTTCATGTCCTCCACCGCCGCACGCTCCTTCTCCTCGCGCTCTTTCTTGCTCAACTCTGCCCGCCGGCTCGCGGCCTCCTTCTCCTTCCGCGCGGCCAGCTCACTGATGAGCTCCCTGCGGCGCGCGACGAGAGCGCGACGGAGGGACAGAGCGCGTCGCTCCGCGTCGGCGGCAGCGACAAGCTGCGCGAACGTGGTCGCCTGTTCAGCCTCCGAGAGCGGCGGCGGCGGGTAGAGCGTCGCGAGCGCAGTGTGTAGGGTCGTCGCAATCCCACTGAGGCGCGTGCGGACGAGTTCAGCAGTCGACTGCTGCACGGCGGCGACGGAAGAAGCGGAGCCGGCGGCAGCACCAGCAGCCGATGTCGATGGGTCCTGCGGGGTGGCTTGCGTGCCGGATACAAACGCGTCGTCGACGAAGACAATGGAGCCCGAGATGTGGTCAATGCGCACAGCGAGCTCGCCGCGGCGAGCGCAGCTCATGATGTAGGCCTCGACCTGCTCCTCATCGTACGGGTTGGGCTTGCCCTCAGCCTGGAGACCGAGCTCTTTGAGCGGCGCGACGAGCGCGAGTAGGTTCTCCTTCGTGATGCTCGAGTACACCTGGGCGAGCTGCGCGAGGAGACGAGAAAGCACCGCGCGCTGCAGGAGCGGGAGGTAGCTCGCGTAGAGCGAGTCCTGCGCGAGGTCCTGGAAAATGGGCGCGACGGCGCCGCAGAGCGCGAGCGGGTCGAACGTGACCTCGAGCACGTCGTACAGGCGCTGGACCATCGGCGGCGAAAGGCGCAGCACGTGGCGCGAGAGCGCGTCCTTGAGCAGGCCCGCGCGGGTGGGCGCCTTGCTGAGCCCGACGAGCGCGGTCAGGCGCGCGCTCCTACCCTTCTCCTCCGCGCCATCTTCCACGTAACCGCCAACGGGCACCGCGAGCGCGCTCACGAGCACCTGGCCCGCGAGCCGGCCCGTCTCCTCCTCCGATTTGCCGCCTATCACGCTCACGACAGCGAAGTACTTGCCCCACGCCGCGGCGTGGTAGAGTGCGGCGGCGTCGCCAGAGACGAGGAAGATCTTGGTGAGCTTTTCGTAGTAGCCGGCCATCATGCTCGGCTTGGGCGCGCGCTTGGCCATGGTGAGCAAGTTGTGCACGTCCTCGACGGTGCGGAAGGCCTCCTGCCAGAGCTCGAGCTCGACCGAGGTCGAGAGCTGCGCGAAGCGCGTGTCAAGATGATGCTGGAGCGTATCGGCATCGGCGAGGTTGATCGCGTGTGGCTGGTGCCCGTACTTGGCGACGTTGGCGAGGTGCAGGCGGAGGGTTTCACACAGGCGGCGGAACTCGACCTTGCGCTGATGTTTCAGGCAGAAGCGGAAGGCTTGTTGGGCGATGTTCTGGACAGGACCAGTAAGTATGAGTAAGTTATCCTCTCGATCGTGAGGCAAGAAAAGGTAACTTTACCTGGTAGATCACCTCCAACCGCGCATTATTCTTGAGTGTCTCGAGTGCGGTCCGGTAGCTCTCCCACAGGAACTTGAGCCACGGCGTGACGAGCGCGCGATCGGTGCGATCCTTGCTCTGATCACCGCTCACGGCTCCGAGCAGGATGCTCTCGGGTGTCTCCGTTGCCTCGAGGTCGTCCACGTCGGTGAGCGCGCCCGCGGCGGCCTTGTCGGCCTTCTCCTGGGCCTCCTGCACCTTCTGGTCCGCAAGCTGAATGAATCGGTTGATCACAACCTCGATCGAGGCCACGTTCGCGTTCTGGGCGATGTTCTTGTACTGCATCAAACCCTCCTTCGCCGTGCGGCCCTTGCGCATGTCCACGCAGAGCTCGACGAAGCGGAGCATGATGGGCTCGAGCGACGAGAGCGGGGTGGTGCGGAACCGCTTGGTGGAGAACATCTCGGTGAGCGACTGTAGGGCGGCGTGCGTCTGGCCGACGGAGACGAGCCCTTCGGCCTGCTTGAGCACCGCTTCGGGTTTGGTGAATGGCGCCATGATTGTTGTTAATGTCAGCGACCGCTAGCTTGAGCGCTAGAGTCGGTGTTTTGGCGATGAGGACGAGCTGGGCGTCGTCGAGAACGGTGACGGCGTCGTCTGGGATGGAGTCAGCCTCCGGGCGCGAGCGACGGCGGCGATGATGGTGGAAGCAAAAATTAGGGTTTCTTTAGGGCGGGCTCCATCACCGGCGCTTATCGTGAAACACTGTAAGCGCCCGTCAACAAAAGCAACCCTTTACTTAACTACTTAAGCCGGTGTAGATGTCTATGCTAAACCATATATGTACTAATGATACATATGCAACGAAACGAAAGCAAGCACAACTACGCCCATAGCATCCTAAGCCCCCAACACACAGGACATGGCGTCAGCCCTGCTTGCTGCTCCTCCTACTGTCCCTTTCCCGGCTCGCCTTCGTCTCAATCCTCACGTACTCGTTCTCCGTGTCGCCTTCCTCGCCTTCCTTCCGCACCGCCATGTATGCCTCGCCCATAATCTGCAGCGCGACGGCGCGCAGCTGGCGTTTCCACGGCGGCACGGACTGATCGTCGAGCACGCGCTCGCACGTCTCGCGAAGGATGGACTCGATCTCCAGCTTCGCTCCCTGACAACAGCAGACGTAAGGATTTTGTACGAGCAGGGAAAAGAGAAAATTGTATATGGGATCCTGCCCACCTTGAATAGAGCCTGGAGGCCCTTCTCGGCAGCCTGCTCCTCGAGCTTACGACGTTCTTCAGGAGAGAGGTTGCCCGCCTTCTCCGCCGCCTGAATCTGGTCGAACACGCCCTTCAACTCGATCGCCGACCGAAGTGTCGATACCCTGCATCTGCCGTCAGCCTCCCGATCATCGAGGAGCAGGATAATGCCCACGTTTCACTGAAGACGTGGTATTTGCCCTGCACGTTGTGCAGCCAGCCGCCCACGCCCATCCACGTCGTATGGCTCGCGAGGTATTGCTTCGCCTTAGCGACGTAAGTGAATCCGATGACCTGGAGCAGTTCCACGCCATAGGATTCATCCTTCAACTGCCTGCGCCGTCGCCGTCAGCGACCACTGCCGTCGTCACCAAGAAACAGGCCAGAAAACTCACTCTGCCTCGATAGAACATATCGTCCGCCAACTGCGCGTGACCTCGGGGTCCTCCGGCCCTTGCGCCTGCTCCGCAAAAATGGCGAGCTTGCGCTCCAGATTATCCACGAGCTTGTCCACGCGCTCCTTCCGCGCGGCCGCTTTCTGTCCTCGTCAGCGTCTCGTCCTCTACAAGCAAACCCAACAAACGCAAAGTTGCGACTCACCTCGGCTGCGACCTTACGTTCTTTCTCTTCCTTCTTCGCCTTCTCCTCGGGCGTGAGTATTTCCTTCCCCTTCGCGTCGCGTTGCACCTCCTTGGGGTTCCCGTTCTCGTCAACCTCCTCCGCCTCCTGCAGAGCCGTCTTCATATCCCGCGCAAGGCTGATGTGTCCGATGATCGGCACGAACTTCTCGCCTCCGAACATAGCGCCTTGAATGTGATGACTGATTCGGTATGATTCGTGCGAGCGAGGGGGGATTAGCACATACCGAACACCTCCTCCGGATCGACGAAGCCGCCCTCGGGCGCGCTCTCCTTCGACCCAAACTCGTTGTACTTCTTGCGCAGCGCAGGGTCGGATAACGTTTGGTACGCGATCGCGATCTCCTTGAAGCGTTCCTCCGCGAGGGGGTCGTCCCGGTTCTTATCCGGGTGATGCTTGATCGCCAGCCGTCCTGAGCAACCACCCGATTCAGTTCAGGCGTCGAAGACAGATTCCACCAAACTCATCACGTACGATACGCCTTCTTGATCTCTTCATCCGTCGCGAGCACTGACACGCCGAGCAGATCGTAGTACCCCGTCTCGAGCGGATTCTCCTGCGTCCCGATCTTCCTCCCCCTCCTCGCCGCCGCCTTACCCGCCCCTGCCCCAGTTCCCATGCTCGTCCTCTCGCCCGCCCCCGCCTTCTCGTAGCTCCCTGCGGCGCTCCCGCTCGGGCCCGCGACCTGCCCGGGGTAAAACGCGTGTCGTTCGACCTTGCCGCACTTGAAGCATCGGATCTGCAGCAGCGTTCCGGGACGCGGCGCCGGCGCGGGCACGTCGAACTCGAACGGCGCGCTGCACGCCGCGCACTGGGAGTGCACGTGCGGCGTGAGCGGGCGGGTGTCGAGGACGGGATAGGTGAAGCTCATCGGGCAACGTGATACGATGTTACGGCGGGATTTAGACGATATATCAAAGTCTGAGTCGCGGGCGGAGAGTACGTGCGCGGGATCGTCAGCGTCGTGAACGAGCAAAACGAGCGAGCTGCGTTCGCTCCTCCGGTAAAGCAGCGCCTCGAGGCGATGATGCAAAAGGAAATGTAAGTGGCTGTGTGCTATTCGCAAACCTTCCTGCTGCCATGCGTCGTGTGCCCGGCTTACCTATCGCGTGGCACGACTCCAGCGTGTTAGACAGTTAGGGATGTTGGGGCCGTGGGGACAGAGATGGGCGAAGAGGGGAGACGAGGGGAGTGCAAGAGGGTGTCGAGGAGGAGAAGGCGTCCAGCGAGAAGCGGATGAGGAGGTTCCGGAATTCCGATAGGTAGCGTGGAGGTGTGCGAGGTAATTCTCCTCGGTGATCATATTTGTCCTTAGCGCCGAAGTATATATTTCCTGAGCATCGTGTATAACGGTCGCGATTTCGGACCTGGAGGTCGCCACAAATGAGATGTGAAGGAGAGACGGACATGTACGATAACGTTTGTTCTGACAGTCTGAGTCCTCTCCCCTCCTCTCTATATACTGACATATACTGATGTGAAATCGTACAAAGTAAACGACGCATTAATGCACCATGTCCCAGCTCGTGATCGACCATGAATTTTGCACTATGATACTTGGCGGGTTGATCACCATCCTATTTCTGAAAGGTCGCGGGTGTTGAGGCCGGTTCTTGACAGCGTTCACGTCACTTCACTTACCCTCCTCCTCTTCGGGGTTATAGCACTCTTTCCAGCGCACGCCATGAGCCAATCTGCTGAGATCAATGGTTGTAGGATGGTGACTGAATGCAGCGCGGGTCGGAATCATGAGTGTTTGGAACGGTGGCCAGAGTTTTCCGCGGTGATGCACAGGCACCCACAGCAGTCTCTCTCCTCGTGGCCCGACGAGCCATCCGTCTTCCATCCTGACCGGATTGGCATCACTGGGCTCTGCCATATCCGACGCAATGAACTCGTCTGTACGCTGTAGTGCGTGTGCAGGCGAAGGGGACAGGTGGATCGCAGGTCCCGCGTCGTTGTCACCGGCTACACCATGGTACCCGGCCATGAGACAAATGCTGCGAACATCCCATACGCGTATGGTTCCGTCCTTTGATCCAGACACTAGGCGAGATCCATTTGGGGAGAATGCGACCGAATGCACAACGTTCAGGTGCGCTTTTAGAGCGCCTGCAAGTGGTTTTCCAGATCGGGCATTCCACAGACAAACTGAACCGTCACCAGAGCCTCCCGAAGCTACGAGTACGCCGTCAGGAGAGAATGCAATGCAATGCACGGCACCACGATGACCCGTCCATGGCTCGTCAATTGGTTCTCCACTATGGGCGTCCCAAAGACGGAGGGTTCTGTCAGTCGAGCACGAAACGATGTGATTACCATCAGGAGAGAATGCAACAGCTCTAACGGATCCGAGGTGACCTTCCAAAGTCGTGATACCAATATGACCACCAGAACGATGGTCCCATATGCGGAGGGTATGATCCGCCGATCCCGATACAATCCTTCCTCCGTCGGGTGCATACGCAATCCCAAGGACCGCTTCGTTGTGGCCTGTAAGCGGATCGCTTACTGCACGTCCGGAGTGGGAGTACCAAATGCGAATCGTCTTATCCATGGATCCAGTGGCTATCCGCGTCCCATCCGGAGAAATGCAAATGCACCGAACGTCCTTATCATGGACCCCGAAAGACTCTCCCAAAGGTTGGCGTGAACGCAGCTCCCATCGTTGCACTGCATTGTCGGTTGGCCCAGAGACGATGAAGTTACCATCGGGGGAGATGACAACGGGGTTGAATGTACGGCGCTGTATCCCAGGTATCTCTGCTATATGCCGACCGGTATGGGTATCCCATATATTGAGTACGCCGTGTGACGAGCTGGATATTATGTGTGCCCCGTCGTAGGAGCAAGCTACAGAATAAACTGCGGGCAAGCACTCCTCGGTGTCTGATTGTGTAGGAGTATGAGGTGTGATGTACCCTTTAGATGCAGTACGCTCTACTTCATCGGAGTTATCTTTCAAAGGAGGAGAACCTGGCTGTGGTGCGGGTCCGGGGTTGGACATGGCCATTTGATCACCGGAGTACCAGAGGCGAATGGTATGATCCTCAGATGCAGATGCGAGGTGCATACTGTCAGGGGAGAATGCCACACATCGCACCCAATCGGAGTGCCCACTCAACGGGCGTCCCAGCTGTTTCAGAGTACGAGAGTCCCATTGGCACACATTATTGTCATCACCTCCCGATACAATCCGCGTCCCATCTGCAGAGAAAGCCACGGCGGTCACGTATTCACGATGTGCTCTGATCGGTTGACCTATGGCATGACCTGTGCAGACGTCCCAAATCCGAATGGTGGCGTCACCAGAGCCCGAGACCAGGCGTCGTCCATCAGGTGAGAAAGCAATCGAGCGTACCCACCCAGAGTGATCTGAAAGCGGGCCAATGACCATATGACAAGTATGGAAGTCCCAGATCCTGATAGTCTCGTCCGCCGAGCTTGAAGCGATCAGCGATCCATCTGGGGAGAACACTACGGAGAGTACGTAACTCATGTGTCCCGTGAGAGGCTCGCCAATTGTGGTACACGTGCTGCTGTTCCACAGCAAGACAGTAGTGTCATCCGATGCCGAAGCGATGTATTCATCGCACGGAGAGAATGCAACGGAGTTGACGCTGCCATCATGGCGTATCATCGGATGACCTATGAGTTGTAAGGTGCGAGCATCCCACATGCGAACGGAACCGTCTTCGGAACTAGATACAATCCGAGCACCGTCAGACGAGTAGGCCACTGAGTTGACACCGGAGATGTGGCCCTTCGACGGCGTTCCTATAGCGCGTCCAGTGTCTGTATCCCATACCCGCACAGTGCCATCGGCGTTTCCGGAAACTATTCGCCTTCCGTCTGGAGAAAATCTGATGGCGCAGACCGCTGCTCCTGGAACCTCCATAGTGCATTTCCACACGGGCCAGTGTGCCTCTCCACCGGTTACGATGGTGGGTAGCCCAAGGAATTTATGCCTGGCATGCTGCATGAACTCGGGTGGCGAGAACGTGAATGCCGACAAATAAATGTGAGGGGCGGATTGAGCGATCACCGTACCGAACTCCTGGATGAAGCGTTGAACATGATAGATTACTTGGAGGCGTTGAGAGCACTCTTGCGTCGTGCAGTTCTAACATGATAGCGACATTAGTCTACTGAGTTCAACAGATTTTGAGACATGCCGCCGCACCCGCAATGTCGAAATTCTGTTGATGAAGTCGGAATAGTAAGACAAGCTCTCCATTGCGTTGAGGAGGCTAAGCGCCTCAAGCCAGAATAACGCTTGCAACGAAAGCATAGTCGTCACCAATACGATAAGGCGGTGTTCGAGATCTGCTCCAGTTGCATGGAGAGCCCAGTACCTGCATGCGTACGATAGAGAAGGAGTTATTCTAGCTGCACGCCGCTCAGGGAGATCTGGGACTTCGATGTTGGTAGCATAAGATGTGGGGAAATCGCATATGTTGAACTTCAAGTTCTTTCGCAGGAGCTCCAGCGCTCCGACAGCGAATGTGTGGTCAGAGGCAGCCAAGTCGATGTGGAACGATCCGCTGCGAGAAGCGTCAAGAAGAAAGTCCCGGAAGGACGTGTGCAGCGGCTTGATTGGCTGCTCGTCGGAATGCACACCGCTAAGGAGGGACCCCATCGGGGTCAGAATTAGTTGGATGTCTCCCTTCGTAAGGGACCCCTGGAGCAGATCGGACAGAGAGTTGACCGACAGCGGCTCTGCTGCGCCGAGGACGTGGGCCATCACCCTCAAATACCGCTCCCTTGCGGATGGGTGTGGCAGCTTGAATATAGATCCAAGTATATGCATGTACACGTCGTCGAGGAGATGCTTTCCAGATTTTCGGGGGCCGTTATCATCAGGCATCACTTCGCGCAGTCGTTCGTCGCCTCGCAAGCCAGTGAGGTTCCGGTCTGTGAGCGCAGCACAAATGGTTGATGCCCACTGGAAGAATCCCTCGGAGCGGTCAGAAAGCTGCCGGCACACAGCGTCAAAATCGACAAATTGGGGACGAAGAGCAGACAGGCGGTCTTGAATGTACGCCGCGATGTCACGGTGAGTCGTTGAAGAGGGTACGTCCGCCATCCGCTTGCAGAACACGAGCTCGTCCTTTCCTAAGACCCGCTCAACGTCCTCCTCCGGTCGAGAAGTAACGACGATTCTGATGTTGGGAGGTAGGCGAGAAGCATTCGTCGCGAGGACTGACAAGAGAGCGTCGCGGGCATCTTCTCCGATCGCTTCGCTTTCATCGAGAGCATCGATGACGATGACGATTGGTCCGGAAATCATTAGTCGTCCTGCGGGACCTAGGATAAAGCGCTCGAATTGTGTAGCAATGTCGGGTGTTTCCAGATCGGATCGGCATTCAGAGATAGAGTCCAACAACGCCTTCTTTATGGCTGGATCACAATCGGCCAGGTCTCGAGCAACAGTAGGAAACAGTAGCAAAGGCGTACGATCCTTGAAAGATCTGTCGAAGCAGAAGATGGATGCAAGGCGCGCGAGGTCACGAAATAGTTGTGCGATGGTATGAGCGACGGCAGACTTTCCTGTCCCCGCCTCACCGAGGAGTAGACAGACGCGCCTTGGGTCGCAGTCGTCATTTATCCATGCAATAATTTCGTCGAGAAGCTCCGTACGGGTGCCGGGGAGACAAGCTTTCCGGCGGTTCCACCCCGCTGCCGAAGCATACGGCAACTCGCGCAAATGCCTTTCCCACACTAATCTCGCATTAGATGAGGATGGAGCAACGAGTGTGGCGGCTCACCGATGTCTCTTGCAATATCGACGAAGTCTAGGATGCGGTTCACGCTGAGTTCGATGCGGGATGTGGAAATTTCAGTACGGAGCGCAGAGAACCTAGTAAACTGGTCCTGTAACTGTCGCAGGTTGACTTGATACCGGGTAATGGTGCCATCGATGTCTACGAAGCGGTTTGTTACGGTGCGCACCCCTAGGTTCCGAGTAAGACATGAATTCCGTCGCTTGAACTCTCCAGAAACTCACAAAACCTTTCCACTCTGGTGAAGTCCCGGATGAAATAGGCACACTCAGTCGTCTGCTTTGCCATCGCAGACAAAACCTGCACCGCAGATCGGAGATGCTTCAGAGGTTCGGCTTCGTCGACGAAGTTGTGACAGTCAAGCATGGTCTCGAGAAGAGCCTTTATAGATTGATCTTGGTTGATCTGGGCGATGATAGCCTATCAAACAGTCGCTATGGTCAGATGCCATGGCTTGTACCACGATGAAGACATGCCTTCGGGACAGCGGCAAGTATGCTCCACGCCATCCTCGCATAAGGATGGATCTACAGATAAGTAGTTTAGAAAAGTACCCAGCGCGTTTTGAACGACGCGAACCTCTGCCAAGTCGTCAACGAGTTCACCAAAACGGCGTAGCCGGAGGAGGAGCGGCTCCCATATCTGAATCGCTGACGTTACTTGCACGCCGCATGACTCGGTTATACAAGCCGCAGCAGAGCTTGCCCTGGCGCTAAACGGGGCCTCCTTGATAGCTTCACAGCCTTTCAACGCCTCCTCCACAGCGGCAGTCCTTCCCTTGCGGTCCATGTCCTCCTTTTCTGCGCCGTGGTCATTTGTCTGCTCGTGACCTGCTTCGGGAACCTCCTGGTATCACTGTCCTCAAAAGACGTACGGCAGCTTCGCTGGGACATGGAACGCACCATCATGGGATGCGTGGACGCTGCCTCATGACGCTCGGAGGACTCGTTCAGCGGCGGAGACGGTTGGTGTCTACTCAAGGAGGAGAACCGAGTCTTCATCACCCAATTTCCCTTCTTGAGAGCCTTCATGTTGTGTTGAATATCTGTGCGCGTGTGGAAATACGTTATGTATAAGCTGTGCGCGCGGCGCGGAAGGGACTGACGCACGATCCGCGGAGTCGCTACGAACACAAGCGTGCGGAGAGTAGATAGTATTCGGGAAGGAGGTAACGGTCCGTATTCGGGTGTGGTGTGGTCTGCAGAGAGATTTACGCGGCAGGCGCGGGCAGCGCAGGCTTGAGACAAAAGCTATTGATTCGCACGCTAACCACTTTTGAATATACCACAGTGGGCAAGCTGGCGCTAAGCGCCGCTCCCCGAGTGAACAAACCGTGCCAGGAGACATAGGAACCCCGATCATGTTCGTTCCTAAAGTCCACAACACCAGCGCACGCATGCGGCATAACAATTACACGGGACCCGAACCGGCAGGAAATCCACGACTACAACATGAAGTAGCACCCTGTATTAGCAGAGTCATTCGCCTCGATGGCGCCACGTTTCAAATTGTGCATGTAAAGGACCCTGCTCGCCGTCAAGCTTGCCGCCAAACCCATCCTGAACTGCCAGTGGCGACTTGCGATGGACGAAGGACGAGAGAGCGCACTGGACGCCCTGCGCGACTCCTTCGCAACAAAGACATGCATTTGCGAGACCTCGATGCAAGGCAGGGCTGCGAGAAACGAGCGGGATGCCGCCGAGCTGACACTTGCCGAAGAATATGATGTCCTTCGTCAGACCACGCTCAGCATCGTATACCTGTATCAGAACCATCCGCTGGTTGTCGGCCGCGGACGAGAAGATCCGGGACTACAGAGTGGGCTAATGGCCCTGAACTATTACCAGTGTTGATCCATCCGCATTTCGACGCTTGAAGCGCGCCACCGAAAGAAGAAAAACAATAGAAACGGATGAACGCAGTAGCAGTTGATTCACTGACGCCCGAAGGAATTTGCACTACCTACACAGAGAAACATGCGACATCAGGAGACAGGAGCAGATAATGAGAACAGCGCAAGACCATGGACCGCAACGGCCACCAACTTGCGTTCATCAACGAGGTTGGGGGTGTCGACGGCACGGCGGACTGATTATGCGATCGAGCGCAATGAGCAGGAGCGAAACCAGGTCATTCGCATCCGTAGCAGTCGAGACAAGTGATCGTATCGCTAGAAAAAAAGCTTCGCCATCAAACACTCTGCGCGATCGGCAACGAGCAAACAAACACGAGCGGAAAACGTACCTCTGCACGTTCTCGACGCAGCAAGTCTTGCACACCACCCTTCCGCACCCAGGCAATACGCCGAGCCCCGCGCCCGACGCTTCCTCATCCCCAGCAGCGCCGTCCGCGCGTGCCTCCGCCTCGCGTTCGCCTCGAAACTTTCTCCTGCGCCCGCGACTCTCCGTCGCCCTCGCCGCGGTACCATCCGCGCCCGGCGGCGCCTCGTGGGCTTCATCCGCACCAGCTCCGGGAAAGGCGGCCGAGACCCGCGTCGGCGAAGGTAACGCGGTGGCGGGGGGCGTCGGCGAGTACGTGAGGCCCGGCGTCGGCGGGTCGGAGAGCGGCAAACCCGTGCACGTCCGCGAGCAGACGGTGCACACCGAACGCCTGCAGCTGACCCATAGCCCGCGTCAGAAAACGAAACATGTTGCAGTAGCTAGGAACGGTGGGAAGAGTGAAAACTCACATCGCGCACGCTACGACTTGGCCGGGCCGTCCGACGACGTGGCGCTGGCACGACGCGCACTGGGTGGCGTCACGAACGACGACCCCGGGATGCACGTTCGGGTTCGAGTTCGATGGGGACGACGACGTCGATCGGACGTCAGAGCCGGTCCGGTGCGAAGTGGCGTGCCCGGCGAGATCGAGCGTCAGCCTCCGTCTCTTGAGTGGCGGCTTGCGTATATCATCTGCAAACGCACGTCGAGCGGACCATCAGTACGCGTAGCCGACCGATGCCTCTACGAGTCACAGGGTACCACGCACCACTCTGCATGTATGCGTCTACAAAACCGCTCGAGTCGCTCGCAGACCGGCGATAAGAAAAAAAAGAAAGACGAGAGAAGCCAAGCGAAAGACGAGCCAGGCCAGCCTCCAGGCGTTTTATGTGGCTTTAACCCGAGTCGACGCGGAGTCACCCTCCTCGTGCTCGTAACAAGGCTCGTTGTGTGTAGACGATGAACGCAACGAGGTTTGCGTGCATGGCCGGGTCGGCTTGCTAATACAGGGACAATGAGGACGATGGCCAACCGCAGATCCAAGCGCGGCGACGCCCGAACGAAAACAAAAAAAAAGGGTTTTTCTTAAAAAAGATAAGCTATTTTTCTTTCGATCTCCGAATATGAATCCGACAAGCCAGGTATTGTTATACATTGATGGTTGCCCTTGTACCTCCCTTAAGTCGACGACCCTCAGAGCGCGCCCGAACACACGCCCTCGATCCACTGCACGTCGCTCGGGACGGTCGTCAAGTTCTCGTACCCGTCCGCGGTGATGCGCACGACGTCCTCGATGCGCACGCCGCCTACGGACTCGTAGCGGCGCAGCACCTCCAGATCGACGTGCTTCGAGTCGCGCACGGCCGCGAGCAGGTGCCGGTGGAAGTAGCACCCGGGTTCAACCGTCTACACCAAACCACCGTTCATCAACACATTCGACCAAGAAAAATTCCAAGTGGAAAGAGAGAGAGAGAGAGAGAAAAGAAAAGAAAAGAAAAGGGAACGCGACGCACCACGACCATGCCCTCCTCGAGCGGCAACCGCAGCCTCAAATACGCGTAAATCGCCTCGTTTCCCAGTCCGTCGTCGTCGCCTTGCGGTATCGTCGCGTTGACGGCCGGCTTGGACGCGCTCGGGACGTCGTGCACGTCCATGCCGAGCGAGTGCCCGAGCCCGTGCGGGTAAAAGGCCGCGCTCACGCCGGCGGCGAGCGGCGCCTCCTCCGCGTTCCACGATCCCGAGTTGGCCGACCGCGGCGACTTGAGGATGCCGAGGCGTTGGAGGCCGCGCACGAGGACGCGGTGGGTGGCGAGGTGGACGGCGTCCCAGTGCACGCCTGGGCGGAGGAGGGAGAAGGCTTCCTAAATCGTCGTGGAGTTCGAGGATGAGGACACAGCGCGAGGGGGAAAATGGCGGGGGGGGGGGGAAGAAGGGCGGGTTCACCTTTTGCATAGCGTGCACGAGCTCGTAGATCGCGCGCGCCTCGGGCGTAAACTTGCCGCCGTTCCCGACCGGCATCGTACGCGTGACTGACGGGGAAACGGGGGGCGGGGGTGTGAGCGCCGCGATGTATAGACGGATACGATGGTGCTCGGCTCACTGTCCGACGCGTAGCAGCTCCATTCGCATCCGGCGTCGATGAGCAGCACCTGCGGCGCCAGCTGCCTAGGTCCGCCCTGGCCGTCGTGCTGCGCGAACGCGCCGTGATTATGGCGGTCGTGCGCGCCGACGGGGCCCCACGCGAACTCCTTATCGTTCCCGCCGTTGCAGCAGTAGTGCAGCGTCGCGGCGCGCGTCGACGCCGCGCAGATGGGGAGGTACGCCTGGTGAACCGCCCTATCGCGTCCCTTCAGCAACGCATCGCACGGAAGAAGCGAGAGAGAGAGATAGGGAAGAGAGGGATAGCCAAAGACGGGATACACACCCTTCTCGCCTGCATGACGCGACGAACAGCGCCTCGGCCTCTTGCTCCTTCTCGACGAGCCATTCGCCGGGAAGCGCGGGGCGGGCTCCGATCGACGCCGGGTCCTGGCCCCGGAGCGCGCCCTTGACCGCCGCGCCCAGCACGCGCATGACGACCTCGTGCGCGCGCGAGCTGATCGCGTTCGCGCGTCGGATCAGCGCGATCTCCGGATCGGTCTTGAGCAGGCGCGCGCGGTGCAAAGCGCCGAGGAGGTACGCGTCCGTGACGTTCGCGCCGGCGCCGAGGAGCGCGCGATACTGCGGGGGAAGAGTGGGGAAGAGCGAAGTGGGCGGGAGGGTGTGGATGAGGGCGGAGGGGAAGGCGGCGAGGAGCTGGGTGAGGGTGGGGGTGAGGGCGGTCGTGTGCGCGACTTTGGTGACGTCGTGCGTTTTCGAAGCGATGTCTAAGTTGGGAGGCGGGACGGACCACATGAGGTCGGCGGGTTCGACCTGGGGAAGGTGTGGTCAATGCCGACGTAGGGGGGTAAGCAAGGGCGGGGTTACCTCAGGGATGAAGAGTTCGACGGAGGGAGTTTGTTCGAGCGAGGTACCGGCTTGGTAGGTCACCAGAAGAAACGAAGATGGGACGTGACATCCAGAGAGGTAGAAGAAGTTGGATTCCTGTTGCCAGATGTGAGGATGGAACGGCGTTACAGAGCGCGTAACACTACCTGACGGAACGCGATCTCCCTGTCGGTGTCATTCCGGAACGGCGTGACTTCGCTAGTGAGGAACAAGATCTGGGGCTACGGGTGTCGCAATAGAGGGTAAAATGAGATGTATGTGCATCGGACTATTACACAGGCAGTCGAAGATAAATGTACCTTCAGCCGATCGGTCTCAGGAAGGAGTTCGACCAGCTTTGCACAGGTCTTGAGAACATGTTTCTGCGCTGCGCTTTCTCATCAAAAACATATCGACCACAAACGATGCAGATAAACGAGCCCACCTGGGTACAAAGCCATCTCAATCTCTGGAAGGCGCCGGTTTGCTTCAGCACAATGATCGACGCTCGCAAGGCCGCTATCTCCTCTGCACGTGACCTGATTCGGTAGCCGCAGTTCGGCGCCACCGTCCTCAGCGCCAGCTTGCTCGTCGTTCTCTGGCCTCGGACCCGGCCTCCTCCTCTTATTTCGCTGCTTATACCCTCCACCTCTCCTCCGGAAGACTAGAACGACAGCAACTCGCCCCAGACTCGAAAAGAATCACTCGATAACACCTCGCGGACCATGTCTCAAGGGACGTTCCAACATTTCGGCAAAGCGGCCGTGCGGGTCGCGAAGAACTACACGAAGGGCTACTCGGACACGCAGGCCAAAGTGCGCGAGGCGACGAGCAACGACCCCTGGGGCCCGAGCGGCACCCAAATGAACGAAATCGCACAGATGACGTTCAATCAGTGCGTCCTTCCCGACCGCAACGTCCGTTAGGCTGATTCGCCTGACCTCCCGAAAACGCAAGGAACGACTTTGTGGAGATCATGGAAATGCTCGACAAGCGGCTCAACGACAAGGGCAAGAACTGGCGGCACGTCTTCAAGGTACGCGTCGTCTCTCTGCATCCCGTCTCACCAAGGTCGCTAAACCCGGGACACGCGCAGTCGCTCACCCTGCTCGACTACTGCCTCCACGCCGGCTCCGAGAACGTCGTCGTCTACTTCCGCGACAACATCTACATCGTCAAGACCCTGCGCGAGTTCCAATACGTCGACGAGTACGGCAAAGACCAAGGCGCCAACGTCCGCCAAAAGGCGAAGGACATCGTCAACCTCCTCCAGGACCCCTCACGCCTGCGCGAAGAGCGCTACGCGCGCGCCTCGATGCGCGACCGCATGCTCAACGGTTCCAACAACTACGACGGCGCGGACCCGGACGCCGAGAACGAGAACGTCCGCCGCCGCAGCCAGAGCACCCCCGCGGGCAGCACGCGGCGGCGGCCCCGCGGCGACGACGAGCTGCAGCGCGCGATCGAGGAGAGCAAGCGGACGGCGGAGGAGGAGGCCCGCCGCCAGGGCCGCACCGCCGAGGAGCGCGACCTCGAGGCAGCGATCCGGCTCAGCAAGGAGGAGGAGGAGCGCCGGGCCAAGGCCGTGCTCGACTCGAACGCGAACGCGCTCTTCGACGACCAGAACCAGGCGTACGTGGTTTTTTTTTCTCGTTGCTTTTGTTCTGCCTCGTCCGTGTGCCGTTCAGAGCTGAGGATCCGTCGCACCCCTTCTTGTCTATCAGGAATCCGCCGAACCTGCTCGTGGATCCCACGCCTCAAGGCCAGTTCGGACTCCAGCCCCAGTTCACGGCGATGCCGATGCAGCCCCAGTTCACGTCCTTCAACCCCTACGCGCAGCAGGCCCAGCAGGAAGCGATGCAGGTACGTTCAGGTGATCCATCGCGCACCCATTTCCGCGCCGCTCACGCATCTCCTCGGCGACCCTCTTCAGGCAGAGTACCTCCGCCAACAGCAAGAATGGATGCGTCAGCAACAAGAAGCAGCGGCTGCCGCACAGCTGCAGGCCCAGCAAGAGGAGTGGATGCGCCAGCAACAGCTCCTCCAGCTCCAGCAGCAGCAGCAGCAGCAGCAACAGCTGCAGATGCAGCAGTCGCAATTCATGGCGCCGCCCCAGCAGCCGCTCGCCGTGCAGCCCACCGGATTCAAGTAAGACCCCCTCCTCGTCGCCCCTCCCCCACTCTCTCTCCAACTCGACTCGACATCGGGGCTAACTCTTTCCCGCGTCTCGATCTCTAGCTCCAACAACCCGTTCGTCCTCGGCGGACCCGCCGCGCCCGCGCCCGACATGCAGCACGCCAACAGCGTCTCGTTCAACCTCGGCGGCACCTTCTCCAACTCGCCCGCGCCGCCCGCGTTCTCTCCGCCCCCGCAGTCGCACTCGGCGCCGCCCATGCAGCAGCAGCAGCAGCAGCAGCAGCAACCGCAGAAGGGCCCGTCGCGGGCGGACCAGGACCACGGCCACCTCGCGAACCTGCTCGCGAACCGGGACGACGGCATGGACACGTTCGGGAACACCGGCCTGCTCAGGTGCGTCGTCTGCCCCCCCTTTTTTTTTCGTTCCCTGCGTATGTTGTGTTGACGTCACGGACGTTCGTGTAGGTATGGACAGCAAGCGGCGAGGGTGGTTGGCCAGCAGACGGGCCACGCGCATAACCCGTTCCTGCAGCAGCAGCAGCAGCAGCAGCAACAACAACAACAACAATACCAGGCGCAGGGTCAACAGAGTAATAATCTAATCGACTTCTAATTCCTCGATGCCCTGCGGAATATGTATATTTCTTTGGATGTCGGATGTAACTTAGCCTGCGGAGGGAAAGTGCCCGTGTTCAGTCTCCTGTTCTACGAATGCTAGTTGTGCAGCGTCGTCTTGCCCCCCCCCTCGGGCCCTGAAAGCGAAAAAAAAAGAGCGGATGAGATAGCACGACTAAATCAACAGGCGGGTTTTACACGAGCGACATGTAACCGGAACAGCGAGTGAATTTAAATATGAACCGAAGCGCACGAAGAAAAGAAAACATCCAACGACGCGCGCTCTCATCTATTCGTCGACGGGTACGACCGTTGCGTCCCCCACGCGCCGGGGTCCAGCCTCGGCACGGGCGGGATCTGCTCGCTCTTCAACATCATCTCCACCCTCTTCACGAACCGCTGCCTCGCCTCCCCGCTCTTCTCGTCGTCCATCACGCTCCGTCGGCTCCACACCGAGCCGCGGCTGTACGCGTCCAGGTCCGCCAGGTCCTCGTCCGAGCGGCCCTCGAGGTAGTACATCGTGCTCCGGCCCGCCGTCTTGTCCTCGTCCGGGTACACCGAGCGCTCGTCCGCGTCCGCGTCCGCGTCCTCGTCCCTCGCCCAGCGCGCGTACGGCCCCGTCGCGAGCGCGTCCGCGCTCGGCGGCCCGGACGAGCCCGGGCCCGAGACGGCGTCGACGAGCTGGTCGAACGCGGACGCGGACGAGTCCGCGAGCGAGCGGTAGCTGCGATCGCTGTCCGCGAACGACGTCTCGCCCGACTCTTCACGGAACCGGCGCAGCACGCTCTGCAGATCCGGGTTCATGGCGTCGTCGTCGTCGTCGTCGTCGTCGTCGGACGCCGTCGAGCGCGGTCTCCGTCTCCTCCTCCTTTCGTCCTCCTCCACGCCGAATTCGCTCGCGACCTCGACGTCGATGCCCACGCTCGACATGCTCTCCTGCGGCGCGTGCGGGCGACCGCCGTTCTCGGACCCGAACGTCCCGCCCACGGGGCTGTTGAGGAACACGTCGCGGCGTCCGCCAGGCTCGGCCGCGCTCGCGCTCATCGGGTGCCACTGCTCGCTCGCCCTGCGATCCTCCAGCCTTCCCCAACCGCCCCCGCCGTTCGGCGCCGCGCTGCGCAAGCTCGCCTCCCACAGCGGGACGTTCGCGCTCTCGTCGGGCCCCTCCGGGCGCCCGTCGATGGGCGAGATCGAGCGCGAGAGGCGCGCGACGCGCTGCCGCGTCGTCGACGACTTGCGCGTCAGCCGCTCCGAGTCGTCGCGGGGCAGGATCGGCCGCGTCGGGAACGGCGACGCGCGGCCGCGTTCGATGGACGGGATCGGCTGGGCGAAGAGGCCGCCGGCGGCGGACGCGGGCGACCGCGAGGAAGAGGTTGACGCGGAGAGCGGCGTCGGCGGCGGCACGCCCTGCTGTCCGAGCGACGGCGAGGCGACGAACGCGGACGGAGGCGGCCGCGCGGGCGACGGCGAAGGCGCGCGGGTAACGTCCTGGGGCGGGCGCGGCAGCGGACCTGTCGGCGGCGGGCTCGGCGGCGGTAGGTCGAAGTGGACGAATGCGGATTTGGACGGCGGCGCCAGGTCGAGCGGGCTCGGGCTGCGCGCGGTCCCGGGGTTGGGGCTCGTAGCGCGCGCGGCGGGGTTGGGCGACGGGCTGGGTGCGCGGCCGAGCGGGTACGAGATCGCGTCGACGCGCAGTTCTGAGGGTGCGCGTTTCAGGCCAGACACTGGGGACGGTGCGGCAGAGCGTGGGTTTGGGCTTGGCGGGAGTCCTATCCTGGCGAGTGCCGGGCTCGACGCGACAGTGCGGATCGCAGGGCTCCGACCTCCTGACGAGCCGGTGTGCACGCGCAGCTGCGACCCGAGGCGCGCCAAGCTGAAGCGCGGCGGCGAGCCGGACTGGGGTGAGGCCGAGCGTGCCGCAAGTGGGGAGGGAGAGGAAGCTGAGGGCGGTACGGGTGAGGGCATCACGAACGACGACAAAGGCTCGTCCGAGGAAGACGACGAGTGCGCGGAAGGGTCGGAGGGAGCCGGGGCCGAGGTAGACGTTGAGAGGGACAGGGCGGGCGGTTGGGGTTTTGACTCGGGCTTGGGCTGGCGACGGGGGAACTTCCAGTCGCGGAAGGACAGATCGGTGTTGATTGAGAGCCCCTGCCGGTTGGTCGGAGTTGGCGGCGTCACCAGCGGGGCACTCGGCGAGGTCTGGTCGTCCTCTTCATGTTTTTCAACCTCTCCCGTAGGACGCTCGCCGTTCGATGACACGAATGCGTCGAGACCGCCGAGCCCAGCGGACATGTTCCCGCTCGTTGGGTGGTGATCCGGCGCGACGGGAATGGAGAGCGGCGATGGGCGGTAAGCCCGCAATTGCTGCTGCTGCTGCTGCTGTTCGTGCGAGTGGCCAGAGGACGTCTGCGGGGCGTGGAAATGAAAGTGCGAGTGGTCAAACGTTGAGACGGAGCCGAAGCCGGTGCGTACAGACTGCGCATCGGCGAAGGCGGAAGTAAGCGAGGTGAAGGAGTCGGTGCTGTCCGGGTCGTCGGCGAAGGTCGCACTCGAGCCAACAGTGGTCACGCTGGTCGCTTCGGACGCGTCAGATGCGCGGTGAGCCATGCCGTCGTACGGGTTCGAGGTCGCATATGTGCCGGGCGTGCTGCTGGCCGAGTCGGGCCCCCTTATGCTTCCTGAGGCAGGAGTCGGAGTGCCCGCGGCGCTTCTCGCGAATCGCTCCGCGATGGGTAACACCGCGCCTGGTGACGGCCCCGATCCGCTCGGTGTCCCACCCATCCCTAACGCTGAAGGGAGCGGGAGAGCGGGCACGGGAGGTGGCGCCTCGCGCACTGGCGATGCGTTGGAAGACGCGCCGGCGGAGTCTTTTCGGCGGCGAAAGAACGACTTTTTCTTCTTGGCCGCCTTCTGGGACGCCTCGGACAGGTAGCCGCCATCCGAATGGTCACCACCGGGCGAGGAAGGGGTGTTGCGCGACGATCCAAATCTGGACTTTTTGCGTGAGGTGCTCGCCTCCGAAACATTGCCTCCGTCCGTTTCATCGCCCGGCGTCGCCCCCTTGTCCTTCTTCTTCGTCGTCCCCCGCCGGTCCTTATCCTTCTTCTTTCGCCAGGTCGCCTCGGAGAGGTACCCGGCATCACTCTCCGCCTCCGTATCTCCTCCGCCGCCCCCCTTGTCCTTGTCCTTCTTCTTCTTCTCTTTCTTCTCCTTCTTCTCCTTCTTCTCGTCCTTCTTCGACTTTTTGCCTCCGTCACTGACGTAGCCGCCGTCGCTCTCGTACCCGTCCGGCTTAGCTTTCCGTAGCCTGTTTCCCCTCCAAGATGACGATGCAAGGCCAGATGAACCAGGAAGAGGTGAGGGAGCAGCAGAGTTCCCGGCGGAAGGCCGGGGCGAGGAAGAGTCGATCCGAACGAGTCGTTGCGGGAACTGCATGCCCGACTCGGGGCTAGGCGGTTTGGACTCGTACTCGAGCTGTCGGATAAACCGATCGGGGGGCACGCCTTCTCCCGGCGTGCGCACCGCAGCCGACATCGACTCTTCCGAGGTGGAAGCGGCAGTGAGGCCGGGCGACGTGACCGCCTACATGTGCCCATGAGTATATGCGCATATATTCCGTAGCGACACGCCACGGGTCGAATGCGAACGTACCGCCCCAGTCTCCTCTTCCTCATCCTCTTCCGCGACCGGGTTGAAGAGCCAATTGGCGACCTTCGAGTTGGTGCCGAGCCCAAGCTCGAGCGCAGCGTCCAACACGGACGCGCGCACCATGTTCGAGTCTCTGTTCGCTGCGCCCGCCGCCGCCGAGGTCGCGTCCGAGTCCGCCGTCGCGGGGCGCGAGCGTGGAGTCGCCATAATCGCGCGCCGGCAGTTCTATTCTTGCTCTTCTTACCACCGCTTTGGAGGCGTGGTGGCGTTCAGTTTTCGAGACTCGGTAGCCTACGAAAAGACCGGGGTAAGGACCGTGGATGCGGTTGGCGAAGCGGGGCGGTGGAACGGGTGGGCGGTGAAGGAGAGAAAGGAGCAAGCAGAGGCTATCGCTGATGAGCGCGCCCGACGGAGGAGGTGGGAGCGGCGCGCACCGTCGAGAACAACGGCGACCCGGTTTGGGCCATGGGAACATCGGAAGGTTTCATTCTCGGGGATTGCCTGCGCTCCCCACCCGCTCTCATGTCCGTCAGCGCTTGACGACGAATTCATCGCGCTCGACAGCCCCGAAAACTTGGCAGATTCTGTTTAAGATCTCCCCCTGCCAGGGACAGGCACAGGGAATACCGCCGACGACGTTCAGCATACTTGAACCCCTCCTCAATATGTTTTTCTTCTTCGACAGGAGTTGTCTCAGTGCGCGCGATGTTTCCTTGGCGACTTTCCAATCATCCTCCGAGCATCCAATGCGTCATGGGTGGGCCAGAACCATATGTACCGGTTTCACTGCAATCTCTGGTTGACGTGCGGCCTTCGTGTTCTGATTTCATCATTTTATGCTGCGTCGTCTTGCAAACCGAATGCACTATTCAGGCCGCTGAGGGCGTCGAAAACTTCACGAAAGCAAGTTTAGCGTACGCGCTTTCAGTGTTGGGTTCCTGTCTCGCCGAGGTGTCCGTGCAAACCCTTCACAGTAGCGATATGTCGCGATACGTGAGTATTCAGACTATTATTTGCCTATTCTTCCACTATCTTACCAGGAGATACATGGTATTTCGCCGGTTCAACGTTGTCCATGTAACCTGCAACACAACCGTGCTCATTTCCCAAACGCCTTCTGCCCTCCGACGTAATATAGCTTCGGACTCGAGAAATGGGGTTAACGTCGGCCGCGCTATTTGGACTATCCGGCTGTGCGCTCTGAGGAAGTTTGCGACGCTCGAAGTCTGCGAAATTCGGACGCGGGTCGCCGATGCGGGTGTTAAAGCATCCGAATTCTCCAGCGGCTCTCATCTGTGATCTCAGTCTCACAAGCACCCAGAGGCGGTCGACATCGAACAATCCGTAGGCCCCCATGATTCCCCGTTTTCTGATCTCTTCCAGAATTTATCGCCGAAATTTGTTCAACGAGCTCTGACCCGATGCATGGAACGGAGGGGCCCGATATCTCCCAAACAGTCGCCTCAGAACAGTACCTGACCTCGATAACCAGCTCTCTGCTCGCACGACTGTAGGGTCTCTTATAACCACCGGTACTTGGTTGCGCAACATACGGGCAGAATCCGACGACCTTTACGACGCAGAATGCGCGCGCGCCGTCCCATGTCCCCTGCTGCTATCGACCAGTGGCGTATCTCCTCTTCCATCCTGTTCATCGCCCATGCCACGCGGTAGACGATATTTTGACAGTTCCACAGGCTTGACGCGGGTACAGTTATCCTCAATCAATGCTATACATGACCGTAACGCGTACAAAAACATGTCTTGCGCGCGATACGCTCTGGCATTTTTTCATCGTGGATCCGCCGTCTGTCACCGTTGGAGCCGATTCATGGAGAGCCTGCGCAGAACGATGGTCAAGCTCAAGACGCCGTTCACAGGCAAATGCAGCGCGAGCTTCGACTGTCACCAATGTTCGGTCCTCCTGCTCAGGCCCCCCTTAAAGTCTCAATTGTCAACAAAGGTATGTTAGACATGTTCGCCCTCACGCAAGGAATCATGGGCACTGAATCTCTAAAGCTGCTGAATAACTATGTTTGACGTATCGCAATGTTCGACTTTGCCAGATAGTAGAGAAAATACTCGGAGTAGCGAACCGCTGGAAGGCATGGCCGAGCATGTTCAGAATGCCGCAGCTTGCCGTGGCTGTCCCCCCACACGTGGCGCGGTTAACTCTGGCCAGCTTGACGCAAGCTCTTGCTTTTGCACCGCGCCGGAAATATACCTACCAAAATATACCTACCACCGTCATCGACGCATTGCATAGAAAACGAACCTCTCGAACTGTGCCCACTTTCGTCGAGCGTGAACGCTATCCTGAGATCGCGTACGTGCATTCCCCATAAGCACCCGACAAACCTACGGGCTAGCTGCTTTGGGCCTGAACGTGGCGTACACCGATACCCACGGGCGGACTGCATCGCGGTGGCCTTGTGCCTTGCTTAAGCTTGAGCTTGCCTGCAGGCATCTTCGTACCGCACCGCCGAAGTCTATTTGCGCTTCGGGAGCTCTCAAGATGGCACACCAATGTCACTCTTCACCCTATAGGCTCACCGCCCCGCCTATTTGGTGAGTAGTATTGTATTCTTTGCATCTTATCTTCTCGGTTGTCCTGATCCTTTGACAGTGTTTACGTACAGAAGCTGCCGCCTTTGTTACGGTTCTGTCCAGTGGTTGCCGCTCATCCGGTATATAAGGCGCCCGATAAACGCGTGCACCATGATCACCTCGGATGCCCTCGTTCAGATTTACCAACCGACGCAGAGACCAGGGCTCTAGCAACCGGATCGACTCCACCCCGGATCATACGCCTGACCACACGAACGATACCACAGGCAGTGGTTCGGACTTCGTCGATATGGACGGCGATAACGCGCACCCAACGACACTTGGTGACTCGACGTATGCTCGAAGGCGAAGAGAGCTTCTTCAGCTTCGCCAGGAGCTCGCCGATATGGGGTAAGTCGTTCTTTTTGTTTCTAGTTTCAGCAGCATGTGACTTATCTACTTCAGCGCCGACGCTTTGATCGACTTACCGTGTGTTGCCGTGATTGGTGGGCAGTCAGGTTTGTTCCGTGGATCAATTGTATATATATGGTGCTCATGCTACAGTAAAGCTGGAAAGAGTTCCCTGGTTGAAGCCGTCAGCGGAGTACGTCCCCGTTTCTCTGGTGAAACTCATTGGCTGATACTCAACAGATAAGTGTACCTCGGGACAGTGGGACCTGTACGCGGTATGTCCACTGCTTTTCCATCTTTTTCGTTGCGCCTTATGAGCTTCGCGTAAAAAGATGCCCTATCGAGTGCTCTATGACGAGCCTTGCGGGCCAATGGTCGTGCCAGATCTCTCTCAGAATCGAATACGATGATCGAGGAGCACCCCTTCCCGGTTCGGAGAGGCAACCCGCTATGTTGTTCGGCCCCGCGATCACGAACAAGGCCGAAATCGAGCTTTGGCTTCGTCGGGCGCAAATGGCCATTCTCAGTCGCCACACTCCATTAGATATCCTCTACACGATGTCCGCGCAACAGCTGAAGGCCCATGCGCAAGCCGACGTGCGGGTGGCCAAGTTCTCCAAGAACGTCGTCTGCGTCAAGATCAACGATCCCGACAGCACGGACCTGTCCTTCATCGATCTTCCTGGTAGGTGATGGTGCAGCCTGGTCGCCACGGGAGTGTTCAATGACAGATTTTCTCAGGTTTGGTGCAGAACGAAGCAGAACAAGCTATCAATATGGTCCGTACCCTGGTCGAGGATGTGATCAAGAGGGAGTCAACGATAGTACTCGTCACTATTCCTGCTAGCGGCGAGTCTTGAGAATGTTCGTGTCTCGCCAGTGCTGATCAAGTGCATCCAGATGATATGGAGAACCAGCAAGCAGTTCTGCTTGCGAGAAACGCAGACCCGGATGGAAGACGGACAGTTGGTTAGTGGACCGTTGTTCACCCAGTTGCGCTCATAATCATGCTTTCATCACTCGACAACGGCTAGGTATAATCACTAAGCCGGACTCCCTCACGTCTGGCGCCTCCAGTGCGCGAGAGAAATGGAGGATGATCATGACCGGCCAATCTCATGTCCTCACAAATGGTGCGTATATCTGCATTGACGATTCCGCTTCTATTGAGGTCCATATGCCACAGGTTACTATGCCGTTCGGCTACCGGACGACGATGAGAGAGCTCGCAATATCACACGTGCCCAGGCAGATGCTGTCGCGGACAACTTTTTCAGGGAAACGTCTCCTTGGAAGGAGGTTATGCAGCAGCACCCCAATCGCTTTGGAATCCCAAATTTTGTTTCGAACATCAGTAAACTGTGAGCAAATCCCGATGTCATCATATACGCTTTAACTCATTCGTCAACCAAGTCTCATGAAAGTGATAGAGGACGCGTATGTCACATACTGCGCTCTATAATAGCTGCTACTAACCAGACTACGCTCTTAGTCTTCCCAAGCTGAAGAGCACGGTAGCTGAGCTCATACGGAAGAACGCGGAAGAGCAGGCGGCGCTTCCCAAGCCACCATCCGAGAACCCGATTGCGGAGCTGCTCAAACTAGTCACCGACTTCTGCCGCGACCTTCAAACAGCCGTCTTTGGACAGAACGACGACAAACGGTTCGTCCAGAAGAATCGTGCCCTGTATAGGATGTTCCGTTGGGCCGTTCACGAGACCGCGCCGGACTTCAGGCCCTTCGAGGACCACAAGAAGTATACCCGTCCCGAGGATCCGATACCCGACACCCCGGAACCTACTTTCTCGGAAGACGATGAGCCTTATGATACAGAGGGTCTCGTCCCCCGACCTCGAACATTGGACCTTTGGGGTGTTCGAAAGGTCATACAAGAGTGAGTGTCCCGTTCCAGGTGTGTACCCTCAAACGGTACGATGATATATAACCGTAGGTCTATCACATGGGAACTTAAGAATACGATACCGTTCGATGCGAAGAAAGTTCTCATCAAGGAGTTCACGACGCTCTGGGATGCCCCGGCGATCACTTGCTTCGAGGGTGTCTCAGAAAAACTCGCGCAACTCATAGAGAAGCTCATTGTCAAATACTTCGGCAGATATCGGCGGCTCTCTGAGACATTGGGGTAGCTCATCTCGTTCACATACTGGTATAAGTACTCTAGCTGACCAGTTGGACGATAGGACCTTCATTCGATCTCAGCTCCCTCTATATCATGATAGCGCGCTCGTTGACCTCAAGAAGGTTTTGGCTCTGGAGAAGAACCCACTATTCACTCAAAACGATCAGTATCTGTCGGCCACGCGAGAGAAATGTTATCTGAGGTACCGGCACATGCATAACAATGCTTCTTCGTATATCCCAAGGCCAGCCGAGGCACGTCACGGCTTTGCCCTTCCCGCAGCACCTGTGTCGCATGCCTATTGTGACATTTCTGGCATCGAAGCCAAGGCCCTTACAGCATTGTCCGACCTGGGGTATCGAGGTTTGACCATCGAGGACCTGAAGCGCTTACACCCTCCGGACGCATTTGAAGATGAGATTGGGATCATGGCAGACGTTAGGGCATACTACCAGGTTGCATATAAGGTTGTTTTCTACCTGAGTCTTGCGAGAGGTTGTTTTGACCAGATCCCTAGAGAATCATCGACTACGTTCCTCTTACGATCGAGCACTCCTTGAATCACGCTCTAGCTGCAGGGTTGGAGGAGAATATCTTTGCGCATCTCAACTTCGAAGATCCTCACGCTTCGGAACGCTTGAAGGACCTGCTAGGCGAACATCCCCTCGTTGCGAAGAAACGGGTCGAACTCGAAGAACGGAGGGTACGGCTTCTTGCAATTGAACAAAAACTCAACGCGTTCCAGTTGTGATTGTGATTGGAAATACTGCGATGTATATTTTTTGGAAAGGTATGGTTAATTCTGTAAGCCCCAAGTGTTTCTATATGTACATAGGAATGTCAGAACGTATGCTTGATCATGTAAAGAGAAGGGTTTGGGATAGGCGTCTACTTTATCTGATCAAGCACCGAGGTTGCGGCTTGCCTCGGTTCGTTCCGACCGTCACGCAAAGAAGAGCTCTGAAGACCGAATTGTGGAGGCTGCTAGTACAAGTACACAGGTGTTCCGACTGCGCTCTCACTTGGCCCGCACGCGGCAGAAGTTGAGCACTCACAGCCTGCCTGCAGGCGCATATTTACGGCATACCGCCAAGCCTCGTGTAGATCAAGTGCGCCGTCTAATATGCATGCTCTGTTCAAGTTCTGACATTCATGCCTTACTAACCCCTACCTCGGTACAGGCCAACACAGGATAAAATTGATCACTCCCACCGACTTTAGCGATGCCCCCCTTCATAATAAGAAATCGAACGTACATCGTCATTCCTACGCAGCACCATATCTGAAGTTTTCGTCCACGCCTCGGGCCTCATCTTCGCTCCAAGCATGCTTCGGCAACGACGGATCTCGACAGCTTTGATCCTTTTTCGTCTTACGGTTATCGCTGCTTTCGTTATAAGAGCTGCGTTCTCCCGGCACCTCCGTCTTCCCTGACCTACCGCCCATGTTGTCCTTCCTTTTGTTTGGTCGTCGCGGGACCCAAGCTTCCGTCGGAAACCAGGTGAATCAGGACCAGACCCACGGAGGGAATGCCAATGGTACCAGCGTTGCGACGGGCGGGGACTCGGATGACCGCGAACTCGACATGGATCACAGTAATTCACGTTCCACGAACCTACTTCATGACTCCGCGTACGCGCGAAGACGGCGCGAGCTCCTTGGACTGCGTCAGGAGCTGGCTGACATGGGGTGAGCTCGTGGTAAAGCGCGTTCAATATCATAATAGGACGCTCAGATGCACGCTATAGCGCCGACACGCTGATTGATCTGCCATGTGTGGCTGTCATAGGCGGCCAGTCAGGTGTGTTTTGCGTTCGCCAACATGCATATCAATGCTCATCATGCGTTGACGCAGCTGGGAAAAGTTCGTTGGTGGAAGCGGTTAGCGGGGTGAGTCAGTATTTCCTCTTCTCTAATTCTGCAGACGAAAATTGGATGTAGATCAGTGTTCCCCGCGATAGCGGCACCTGCACGAGGTAAGAAATGGTCTCGTAATAGCGCGTAACTGGCCTCACAACTTTGTGTTTAGGTGCCCTACCGAGTGCTCCATGACGAGCATCGGCGGACAATGGTCATGCCAAATCTTTCTGAGGATCATATTCGATGACGCAGGGGTGCTACTTCCATTCAGACAGAGGAAGTCTTCTCAGCCCTTCGGACCTCTCATCACGAACAAGGCCGAAATCGAACTTTGGCTCCGTCGTGCGCAAATGGCGATTCTCAGTCGTCACACATCCCCGGAGGTCCTCTACTCCATGTCAGCCGAGCAGCTTAAGTCTCACGCCGCAACCGATCCGCGCGTCGCCAAGTTCTCGAAGAACGTCGTATGCATAAAAATAAACGATCCCGACAGCACGGATCTGTCCTTCATTGATCTTCCTGGTGAGCAGGGTAGCGCCTGGATCTCGGCATCGGAACTGGAACTAAACAAAACGTTCCCTACAGGACTGGTTCAGAACGAGGCGCCTCAAGCAATTGATCTCGTGCGTACCTTGGTCGAGGACGTGATCAAGAGGGATACAACCATTGTGCTCGTGACCATTCCCGCGAGTGGTAAATTCCTATGCTCGTCTTGCATAGAGTCTGTAATCTGACGGAGTGCTACCAGATGATATGGAGAACCAGCAGGCTGTTCTGCTCGCGAGGCAAGCGGACCCGGATGGAAGGCGTACAGTCGGTTAGGATCTCGCCATCCTCGATATAGCATCTGACACTCACGAACCGTAGGCATCATCACAAAGCCGGACTCGTTGACGTCAGGGGCTTCCAGCGCTCGAGAAAAGTGGAAGATGATACTCACCGGCCGATCGCATATCTTGACAAACGGTGCGTAGATTCGCATTGGCAAATTTGCTTTTGTTAAGGCTTCATCTCTACTAGGATACTACTGCGTCCGTCTTCCGGACGACGACGAGCGGTCCCGCAACATAACTCGTGCTGAAGCGGATACCATCGCGGACAACTTCTTCAAAGTAACATCCCCTTGGAAGGACGTCATGCAAACGTATCCTAATCGATTTGGTATCCCGAACTTCGTCTCGGAAATCAGCAAGCTGTACGCATCTCCTTGCTCGTATATTTATAGGGCTATCAATTGATCCATCATCTAGTCTCATGAAGGTTATCGAAGACGCGTACGTCGCTCCGATCTTCTTGGTCGTAGCTCAACTGATCCAAACTATGTTGCAGTCTCCCGAAACTCAGGCGCACAGTCGCTGACTTGTTGAAGGAGAACGAACGACAACTGGCAGAACTCCCCGCTCCCCCATCCGAGAACCCGATCGTCGAGCTCCTCGAACTTGTGACAAACTTCTGCAGCGAGCTCCACCAGACGGTGTTCGGACAGCACGAAGACAAGCGTTTCGTCCAGAAAAATCGTGCTCGTTACAGCATGTTCAAGCTGGCTATCCGTGCCACTGCCCCGGACTTCAGGCCGTTCGATGACTACACGAAATATAACGAACCTGAGAGCCCTCTTCCTGAAGAAAACGACGAGATTAATGACGACGCGAGTCTTTCAAGCGCTCCCACCGCTGCCGGTTATAATGGCAATGCGAACCTACCAGTACGAGACAAGCCTCGGCCCTTGGATCTGTGGGGTGTCAGGAAAGTGATACAAGAGTGAGTGCATGCGCACAGGACATGACTGGCTTGTCCCTGAGTGTAGGGTGACAGATCCATCGCCTGGGAGTTGAAAAATACGATACCCTTCGATGCGAAGAAGGTCCTGATCAAACAGTCTACGGGGCTGTGGGACGCGCCAGCGATCGAGTGCTTCGAAGCTGTGTTCTCCGAACTCGGGGAGCACCTTGATGTGCTAGTCACCAAACATTTTGGCAGGTATCATCGACTCTGCGAGATCCTCAGGTGAGAACAACCGATCCAGCCGTATAATATATCCGCTCAGGAACGGCAGAACCTTCATTCGGTCCGAATTACCTGCGTACCATGAACAAGCCCTCGTCGACTTGCGCAAGACCATAGCGTTGGAGAAGAATCCTTTCTTCACCCAGAATGTCCAAGATTTGCCTGCAACGCGGGAGAAGTGCTTTGTCTTCTACCGACGCGTTTATTGGAACGCTCTGGGTTACTTGATTGTCGTCAAAGATTCTCGGACACCAAGTCCCGCTTATCATTACAACCACAGTCAGAGGGAGGAAGACGAAGCCGCCGCGCTGAGGGCGTTGGCCAAGATCGGCTATCGCGGGTTAAGCGTTGCGGATCTAAGACACCTACATCCTCGGGAGGCCTTCGACGAAGAGCTAAGCGTGATGGCAGACGTCAGAGCTTACTTCCAGGTGGCATATAAGGTAATGTACTATGGCATGTTCGCGTAATATTTTGCTCATTTTCGCTCAGAGATTCATCGATAACATTCCGCTCACCATTGAACACTCTCTGAACCAGGTCGTAGCCACGACACTGAAGCGCAGCGTCCTGACGCATCTTCAATTCGACGATCCGCAGGCGTCCGAGCGCCTGAAAGATCTGTTGGGTGAAAGCTCGGAAGTGTCGCGAAGGAGATCCAATCTTCAGGAGCACAGAAGGCGGCTCATTGCGATCGAACAGAAGTTGACCGCGTTCCAGTTGTAAGCCAGCTCGCCATCGAGGTGTATATGCCTTGGTTATGCTGTGCTCGCACGTATAGACTTGATCTCCGGAGATGATTTCTTGCAATCCATTTTTGACGACCAACTTGCGCGCTACCCTCCTGAGAAGGATACAACTGACTTCGAAGTGAGAATGACTGGGGAGATGAAGGGGTGGCTAAGCACGAGAGCAGAGCACTTTGTTTGTGCAACTTGTGGCGTGAACGCGCGCTTTTCCCTGGGTCTCTCTGCACCTGCAGCAATCCTTCATTCCGGCCATCTATACTTGTCTGCAAGGGGCGACTCGACTATCTCTTACCCATACAACGTTGCTGGCAGCCTGCTACGATATTCATTAGTCAAGTACCTGCGCAGAACGCTGCGTACGAGAGCGACTGTTTAGCTCTGCTCGCAGGGTATCGTTTCCTTGACCACAGTAAGCTAACTGTCTCTCTCGAAGCCTCACGAAGGCCTCACCAACGACTGCGAAAGTGACTGAGACATCGTTCTCTAGTTGACGGACTGATACTGCTGCACACTTCATGCTCCCGCACGGCCTGCTTTGGTTGCTCCTTGCATCCCTTACACCCGCACAAGCCCAGAATGTGCTCAACCTCGGCGCCGTCTCCGACTTTTCTGGCGCCAACCTCACATCCACTCCGACATTCTCCTTCCCTGCGTCATCACAGCTCTCAGTGTCGGTCGCCCTGTGCTCGAACGCTTCAGACCCTCCGAGGTTCTTTATCACTAACAACACTGCGCTCGATGGCCCAACGGTAGCGTCAGGAAGCGGTAGCAATATATGGGAGATCACGCTGAAGGATGGGTATGGGAATTGGACAGGGCCAGCCCTGGATGGTGGGATGATAGCGGGAAATAACCTAGGCGATTTGCGATTCCAGATAGCTCTGTCCAGGGATGGTGTGTTCTCAGTCTTGCTGTACGAGCACATACTAAGTGGCATATCGCAGGACCCGCTCACGAACATCTGACCACGTTACCCTACTTCGGTGACACGACCTCTAACGAAGCCCTGCTGTTCTCTCCGCCCTGGGATCCTCCATCTCTATACCAACCATCCTTCCCCAACTATACCCTACCACCAGCCAATCTCTCCTTTCCGGACCCATCATTCGTCACGCAGCAAAACAACTCCCTCTTCGTCTTCGAAACCTCCTCTTTTCTGCCCACCAATACTCCCCTGACCGCTTGCGCGGTACAGTCTCAGACATCTGTGGGCCAACAACAAACGCCGACCACCTGGCTCCGCGACGCCAATGGATGGAGGTCGGAATGGGTCCTCTCCGGCCTGGAGCCGTTGAAGAACTACACCGCCTTCGTCGTTGTCAACAACACCAAGCTCAGCGGACCCATCAACTTTGTTACCAAGTCCGGTACGCTCCATCCGTACCCCATCTTTGAATTCCCCTTCACGTCTCCCACAGCTCGTTTCTCGTGCCCCCTGGTGCATGACCTGCCCTATTGCCCAGGCGTCTCCTGGGCCGTTCCAATCGCACAACCTACATTTCCCAACCTCGCGCACGACGCACACACCCTCCCGTCTTCTATATCCTCTCCGCTCCTGCAATACCTTACGAACTTCACCACGACGCTCACCACCACCGCCTGCGGGCGTGACATCTATTCGCCCCGGCAGACGTGTGCCGATTGCCAACGTGCGTACCGGTCTTGGCTCTGCACGGTCGCCTTCCCGCGGTGCTCAGAAAGCGCACCTTCTTCCTCTTCCTCTTCCTCGTCTCAACAATCTCAAATCCAAGGGCAAGGGCAACAGCAGCAGCAACCCCTTTCCGCCCTGGTCCCCGTCTCCACCTCCTCGCCACGGCGCAACCCGCTCGTGCCCCAGTTCGGGACGAGCTACCAGCAGCTGCTGCCCTGCCTCGAGACGTGCAACGCCGCGGACCGCGCGTGCCCGACCTTCCTCGGATTCAAGTGTCCCACGAAGCGGTTCAACGCGAACGAGAGCTACGGGGTCGGGTATATCGATAGCGGGGAGGAGGGCGAGCAAGGCGGCGGCATGACCGGCGCTGCGCAGGATCGATGGGGCAATGTGTGGTGTAATGCGGGATAGGGGGTAGATCAAATCTGTGGATCGGACGCTGTAAGCACGTTGGAATAGGATGATCTGTATTGGTACTTTGGATGTGTACGCCGTGGACATGGACTTGTGATCTTGCGAGCGGCGAAACTGTTATGCGATACGGAGTACGCAGGTTGTTTATATATCATCATTCCCTTCGGTTTCTACACGTACATTACATTCGATACATCATCAAAGCGTGTCATCTCGCTCAGCAGTCATTGAGTATATCCAACAGGGCCGACTTCTCCGCGCTGTCGATGGTAAGATCGTAGTGGTGCTTCACCGTCGCCCAAGCGCGCGCGTACGTGCATCGGTAGCTCGCCAGCGGTGGGACCCACTCGGCGATGTCCTTGTCGCCTGTTTCGAACACATACGGACGTCAGCGGAAGCAGGTCTCGAAGGGGTAGGAAAGGGGACCGCGACGCGCCTTTGGACTCGTTCAAGTTGTCCGTGACGGCGAGCAGCTGGGGCCGGGTGAGGTCGTTTGCGAAGGCTTCGCGCTGCGCGGCGGTCCAGCTCCGGGCGCCGGATACCCAGGCTTCTTTCAGAGGGACGAGGTGGTCCTGCGTGGCATCGAGGAAGAAGAGGTGTCAGTTAGTCTCGTCGGGGTCAGTGGGAGACGGGGTAGAGGGGAACGCACGATGTCGAGATCGCTGGCGAGGTCGGTGGCGACGCCGTCGTAGGGCGAGACCCAGTGGCCGGAGGTCGCCTTGCAGGAGCTGTCCGTGACGACGTCGGTGCCGTCGCGCTTGAGCACGGCTGGGTGGCGAGGTCAGTTCAATCCTCGATACGGATCAATGGATGGGATGCGCACTCTCTCTGGTGTCACACGTCCCTGAGACTTTACAGCAATCAAAGGGATGATAGTAAGAGTCGGGAAGATCGAGACGTACTAATGTCCCATGTCTTGAACTTGGAGCGTGCATAGGCGGGCGAATTGACCTCATCGGCTACGGTGAGCTCCGAGACGTAGGTGCGCGCCGTCGCCGCTGTCACGGGCGTGGGCAAGGCGCGCCCATAAATAGCGATTGGAGCAGCGATAGAGGACCCGACTAGCGCCAGGGCGAGCAACGCGGACGTGGAGAGGCGAACCATGGCAGAGTCAAGTCGAGGCTATCGGTGGGCTCAGAGCGCCGGCTGCAAGACCATCCCGACCATCGATCTATCCCTTCTTATGCAATTACCTCAATCGCATTGGGGACCTCGCAGGCAAATGGGGACCGGATTGTCAAGACCGCGGTGCTTCGTATAGATAAACGTGCGCTTCCGACCGCGAGGTAGACGTCCAGCTGAGCGACACGCTCTGAGAGCACGAGAAATGCTATGAGCGAGACAGCTATGCGACACGGGCTTGGCGATATGAACCGCGTGGATAAGTGAATCGTGAAGCCCTTCTTGATGACGAAGAGGCGCGAAGAGAAGACAGATCTGCCACAGTGGCTGATGTCTCGTAGGAGGGTTGCAGACCGGCATCGGGTCTAGTTACGGGGGAGAGGAGATATGGATCTAAAGAGATCAGATGAGCATCTCGTCAACTGTGTGGATTGCGGTATAGACATGAATTCCTGCACTCACGATAAGTATCGTATACCGGACAAATTCCGATTACGTTGTCGCAGCCTTCGGCGAGCCTTTATGCGACGCTCAGATGCGAACATCGGCGAGCTCCTGATACTGACAACTATACCGTATGAAAGGTTTCAACCAGCAGCGCGAGAGCCTCGAACAGCCGCACCGAGGAAATAGGGAAGGAATGTGGGAACGGCAAGTCGGTCCGATTTGGTCCGGCGAACCTCTGGCACGCATCGGCTTGACCACCGACCACCTCCATCGATCCGCTGCTGCTGCTTTCCTTCCAGATACTCAGCGTGCTGTGGATGCGTGAATGCTGATGAGATATAGGGTGGAAAATCTCGCGTTAAAGGGCACGTTGCCTCAGCGCCGCACTTACCTCCCTAGCCGTCTGGGTCCCCCGCCTCCGGCTCCCGGCACTCCGTGCCATGCCCATGGGTTACCTGCTGATCATTATGAGCGTAATAGCGCATGCGGGCTGCCTATCATACTGGTCATGTCTTGATAGCGGATTGTTGGTCAGAGGTGCCCCTTCAGTGAACGCTTCGTCTGACTACGCAATGAGGAAACTGCTGCTCGCCCGCGTTGCTCACGGTTTCTTTTCTTGCCCAACTATGCCTAATGATGACCTCACCCCGGTCTATAACAGCTCAAGGTGCCCCGGCGGAGCCCCCTGATCATCGAGGGTGTCGCCGTTTGTATTGCACTCTCGGAAATACCTCGGACAAAGCGCTGCAAACGGTCCGGGCTACCCACGGCGCGCTCGTTTCTCGCAGCATATAAGGCTGAGTGGTTTGGCCATATGGACCCTGCGTGACTTCCACTAAGCGAAATGGCGTTCATCAAGGTATCTGGGACCAAGCTCGTGGACAAGGATGGCAAGGAAATCATCCTGCGTGGCGCTGGGTTAGGCGGATGGATGAAGTTCGTTTCATCTTCGTCATGTTCCAGTCAATGGTGCTGATTGGAGGGATAGTATGGAAAACTTCATGACCGGATATCCCGGGACCGAGTATCAGATCCGGACTGCACTCGCGGAGGTTATTGGACCCGAAAAGTCCGAGTTCTTCTTTGACAAGGTACGATCGTCTCGTATCGCAATGGGGCCCAATATTCACGCAGACGAGTCCAGTTCCTCGAGTACTTCTTCTCTGAGGATGATGTTATCTTCTTCAAGCAGCTTGGTCTCAACTGCATCCGGATTCCCTTCAACTATCGTCACTTCGAAGGTACTTCCTTCTGCCCGGTGCCCCCCAGATCCACTGACGGGATGCCCAGATGACATGAACCCTCGCGTGCTGAAGACGTCCGGCTTCAAGCATCTGGACCGCGTCATCGACGCATGCGCCAAACACGGCATCTACACCATCCTCGACCTACACACCGCCCCGGGCGGCCAGAATACCGACTGGCACTCAGACGCCGGCACGCACATCGCCAACTTGTGGATCCACAAGGACTTCCAGGACCGCGTCATCTGGCTCTGGGAGCAGCTCGCGGAGCACTACAAAGACAACGCGTGGATCGCGGGCTACAACCCGTTGAACGAGCCGACGGACCCGAGCCAGAGCCGACTCATCGAGTTCTACGGCCGGGTGCACAAGGCGATCCGAAAGATCGACCCGTACCATGCCATCTTCTTCGACGGCAACACCTTCGCGTCCGACTTCTCGCACTTCGGCGACGCGCATAAGGACTGGGACAACACCGCGTACGCGATCCACGACTACACCCTCTTCGGCTTTCCGGCGTCGCCCGAGAGCTACGTCTCGAGCGACGTGCAGAAGCGGCGGCTCCGGAGGAGCTACGAGAAGAAGCGGGAATGGATGGACCAGAACGGCCTGTGCGTGTGGAACGGGGAGTGGGGGCCCGTTTACGCCCGGAAGCAGTACGAGGGCGAGAGGACGGACGCGATCAACACCGAGCGCTTCCGTGTGCTCAAGGACCAGCTCGAGATGTACAACAAAGACCGACTCAGCTGGTCTATCTGGTTGTACAAAGGTGCGCATTCCCGAAGTTTGCGCTCCTCGTCGACCTGCCGCTCATCGCCCCTTCGTAGACATCGGCTTCCAGGGCATGGTATACGTCTCCCTCGACACCCCCTACATGAAGCACTTCAAGGACTTCCTCGCTAAGAAGCACCGCCTCGCCGTCGACGCGTGGGGCACGGATACCTCCGCCGTACAACACATCTACCAGCCCCTCATCGATCATATCGCGCAAGAGTTTGACGAAGAGCACCAGCACCTGTACCCCTGGCCGGTGTGGAAGATGTCCGATCGCGTTGGCCGACTCTCGCGCTGCATCCTCGTCGCCGAGTACCTCGTCAAGGAGTGGGCGGAGCACTTCAAGGGCATGGACGAGGCCCAGCTCGACGAGCTTGCGCAGAGCTTCAAGTTCTCCAACTGCCTGCACCGCGACGCGCTCAACAAAATTCTCACCGAGAACGCCAGCCTCGTCGCGGAGCAATGAGATAGATAGAAAACGGAACAGATCGTCAACTGTACTATGTATGCAATCCGGATCCTGACGACAATATATGGTTTCGATAACAGGTGCCCTCCAATAGATAGCGAGAAGCCGGTGTAGGGAAGAGAAAGCAACGATTTCTAGGGCCTTCATTTCAGCTTTGCGAACATGTCTTTGGAATTTCGCAGATTCTCGACTTCGGCCTCCAACGTCTTGCGCTGTTGAGTCCTTAGTTTAAGGCTGGTTCACACTATACCAAGTACTCACCTTATCCTCGTTCAGGAGGCGCACGTCCGCGGAGATGATGTTTTCGTAGTCGGGCTGCGACTCGACTTTGCGGATCTTTTCGAGATTCATGAGCGCGAGCTGCAGCTTTTTATCTGCCTTGGCGATTTCCACGTCGAGGTCGACTTGACCCTGGAGCACGGATAATGCGGGTGTCAGCGACCGCCTAGCTTGTCGATCGAGAGTTTCTTACCCGGACGAGAACGAAGATGGTGATCGTCGGCGTCAACACGGTCGACCCGCAGCCCTCGGGGATTTCGCTGAGTTCTTTCACCACCTTCGCGCTCTTCCCGCCTTTGGTGAGGGCGACGATTGTGGAGGCTTGGGATTCGAACAGGGCCGCCTCGTTGTCTGACTGTACGCGGATGAAGACTACGATGATTGTCAGATATCGCAATTTGTGATACCACAGGGACAGCCGCTCACATTGAATGTCATTTTGGAGGCTGTAGGACGCGGCGAGGGAGCGGCCGGTCTTCAGGGCGGAGAACACGAGGTCGAAGTCCCTTTCGGCGTCCTCGAACACCATCGCGGTATCCTGATTGGCAACATCAGCATCGTCGTATATGAGTCGAGTCGAGAATGACATGCATGTTGAGGGTAGTGGGAGATCATGATCGATGGGGTCGTGTCGTTGGGCCGACGTGGAAGGCGTTGCCACAGTTCCTCGGTGACGAAGGGCATGAAAGGGTGAAGCAGGCGCAAGCCGTGATCAAGACACGTGTACAGCGTCTGCTGCGCAGACACCTTCGTCTCGGTCGATGCAAACTCGTCCGTCATGGGCTTCATCGCTTCCTATTGCTCCTATGAGATCACACGCGAAAGACTGATGTTCGCACGAGGGCTCACGATGTAGACGTCGCATAACTCATACAGCCAGAAGCTGTACGCAGCGGACGTGGCCTGCATGAAGTTGCGCTCCTCCAGCTGCTTATTGATCTCTGCCGTGGCAGCGTTGAGCTTATGCAAGATCCAGCGCTCGACAAGGCTCTCCCGACCCGTCGGCTTGGCGGTTGGCTCCGGAACGAACGCCTCGTCGAGCTTGAGCATCGCGAACTTGGTCGCGTTGAAGATCTTGTTGCAGAATTTACGGTAGCCCTCCACGCGGAGGATCTCCAGGTTGATGTCGCGACCTTATCCCGATCTCGTCAGCCTATCGCAATCGTCGGTGGATCGTCACGTACCTCCGCCGCTGTACGCGCATAGCGCGAACCGGAGCGCGTCCGTGCCGCACTGCGGGATGCCCTTCGGGAAATCTTTCTTCTGGCCTGCCTTCGCCTTCTGTATCTCCTTTTCGTCGAGGTTTCCCTCGTAGAGCTTCTGGTGCAGGTCCTCGAGCGCCAGGCCCTGTATCACGTCCAGCGGGTCGATCACGTTCCCGAGCGACTTGGACATCTTCCGCCCGTGCGCATCGCGGATCATCGCGTGGCAGTACACCTCCCGGAACGGCACCTTGCCCGTCAGGTGAATGCCGAGCATGACCATGCGCGCGACCCAGAAGAAGATGATATCCCATCCGGTCTCGAGCATCGAGGTCGGGTAGAACGTCTGATAGTCCTTTGTCTGTAGGAAGGGGGGGGGGCTTCAGCGTCCGAAAGAGCAGAGACAAGATGAGGAAGATGACGAACGTTTTCCGGCCATCCGAGCGTGGAGAAGGGCCAAAGGCCGGAGGAGAACCAGGTGTCGAGCACGTCCTCGTCCTGCTCGAGCGTGAACGGCTTGCCAGCTGCGAGCTTCTTCGCGCGCTCCGTCGCCTCCTCGGGCGTGCGTCCCACCACCCAGCACTTGCTATCAGCGTTCTACCATCTTTTTTCAGTACGCGCATCATGGTGCATCACACGACAAGAGGACTCACGTCGGTCTTTTCACCCTTTACCTTGACGAGGTATGCAGGTACACGGTGTCCCCACCAGAGCTGGCGGGAGATACACCAGTCCTGAATGCCCTCAAGCCAGCGGTACCAGTCGCTCTCGGTCTGCTTAGGTTGGACGGTGAGCTCGCCCGCGCGCGTTCGCTAACGTCAGGCCGTTCAGCTCCTGCATCGGTTCCGATCGAGACAAAAAGGATCTCCTAACCTTCAGCGTCTCCTCGGCAAGCGGCTTCGAGTTCACCCACCACTGCGGCTTCATGATCGGCTCGATGATGTCGCCCGATTTATTGCAGATCGGGATTTGCATCGGGTTGTCCTTCGTCTCGACGTACAGTCCGGCGTCCTTGAGCGCCTGCACGACCTGCACCCTCGCGTGGAATCGCTTGACGCCCTGTCGGGGGCACACCCGGTCGTGAACACATTCTCCCCAGAGTTTCATCGCGGTGCAATGCACTCACCGCCCACCGGCCCGCGTTCTCGTTGAACGTGCCGTCGTCGTTCATGATGTTGATGAACTCGAGGTTATGCCTGATCCCGACCTCGTAGTCATTCGGGTCGTGCGCGGGAGTGATCTTGACGGCGCCCGTGCCGAAGGCCATATCAACGACGATGTCGTCCGTGATGATCGGGATCCGACGGTCGAGGAACGGGTGTCGGGCAAACTTGCCGTGGAGGTGCGTGTAGCGCGGGTCCGCGGGGTGCACGGCAATGGCGGTGTCGCCGAGCATGGTTTCGGGACGGGTCGTCGCGACGATAATCTTCTCGTCTGTGTAACAGTCGATGTTGGTAGGCGCGCGTTATGATACGTGAAGGGGGACGTTACCTGAGCCGTCGATGGGGTAGGCGAAGGAGGTGATGGCGCCAAACTCGAATTTCTCTTTCGGGTCGTAACCGGGTACACTCAAGAAGGTTCGACCGTCGAGCTGCTTTTGGTCTACCTAGGATGTAGGCGCACATCAACATTTTTTTTGGATGAGGATGCGACGTGGGGAGCTTGTTTGCCTACCTCGAGGTTGGAGAGCGTGGTGTTGAGGCGCACGCACCAGTTGACGAGGCGGTTGGCGCGGTAGATGATCCCGTCCTCGAAGAGCCGGCAGAAATTCTCGGTGACGGCGCGGTAGCGGGGCTACGGTGAGTATATGCGCGTGAGCGATAGGGCCAGATCGTGATAAATGAGACGAGTACCTCGTCCATGGTGAACGCGGACCGTGTCCAGTCATAGCTGCCGCCGAGGCGTCGGAGCTGGTTCGCTATCCTGCCCTGATAACTAACGCACCCTGTCAGAACATCATACCTTCCCTGGCCAAGCGCTAAATACGTACTCTTCCTTCCACTCCCATACCGTCTCCAGGAACTTTTCCCTGCCCAAATCGTGCCTCGTCCGTCCGCTGCTCTTGAACAGCCGCTTCTCGACCACGCTTTGGGTGCTGATCCCAGCGTGGTCGAAGCCGGGGATAAACAGCGTCGTCTTGCCGCGCATGCGGTACCAGCGCACGAGCGCATCCTGGATCGCGGTTGTGAGCGCGTGGCCTATGTGGAGCGAACCGGTCACGTTCGGCGGCGGCGCGGGGATGACGAACATATCCTCCGGCGCGGGCGGTGTATCGGGTACGACGGGCGTGAAGAACCCCTGGGCCTCCCACCAGTCGTACCAGGCGGCTTCGACGGCGATCGGGTTGTAGCCGGAGCCCATCGGCTGGGTGGTATCTGCGATATTGGAGGGTCAGCTCCGGTGCGTCGAGGAGCAGAGAGGACGAGGGACGGACCTTTCTTTTCGCCCTTGGGCGTCGTGTTCACAAACGCGGGCTCCTCCTCCTTCTTAGCTTTCTCCGCTTTCGCCTTCTTCTCCCCGGCGGGCGTCGCGGCGGCGACCTTGGTCGCTTTCGCGGCCAGCTTGGCCTGCTTCTCCGCCATCTTCGCTTGCTTCTTCGCTGCACGACATTATTGAAAACATAACCGATGACTCGAGGTATCTGACGCACCTGCGCTCTTGGTCAAGGCCGGGCCGCTGCCGGCCTCGTCGGGCACGGTCGGGGCGGGCTCGTCGTTCGGTGTCTGCGCCATCCTCCTCGCAATGCTTGTCGTCAAGTTTCTGGCGGTCGCGCGGGGAACGGCGGTAGCTGGAGGGAGGAATCGATGCAGCCAAGCTCGCATCTAATCTCTATCAGTTTTCCGAGTCAGTTCTGGAGTCTCGTGACCGCAATGAGTCGAGCGCGCTCGATTGGGCGGAAAATGTTGATAACGGACCTCACTAGACAATTTCCTCTCAGTTAGATGAGACGTAGATTCATGAGGTAGGTTGTTTTCACCCTGAAGGACAATGTGCGAATGGTGCTGCACTCAACCGAATGAGCCAGCTCAGAGACACCCTCCCGAACGCGACGCGGAGGGACACAGGAGCGGGAAAGGAAGGAGGAACACAGCCACACTAGATTTCATGTTATCCTCCTCCGTCGCGCTCGGCTTGTTCTCGTTGCGCCGTTCCACCTGATCTAAGCCGTTTCCACCGGTCTATATCCCATCGGCGAGCAAACAGGGGAGATCATAATGACCGTACTTCTCTCCAAGGCCGAAAAATCCTACATTCAAGCGTCCCTTCAAGCAGACCCATCCCTGCGCGGGGATGGCCGTGGTTTGCTCGACTTCCGGGCGCTCGCGCTCGAGACGGGCGTGTCGCCCTTGACGAACGGATCTGCGCGCGTGAGGATAGGCACCGGCGACGGCGGGACTGAGGTGCTAGCAGCGGTGAAGCTGGAGGTGGAAGACGTGGGCAAAGATGACGGCGTCGACGGCGGCAGGCTGAATTGTTCCGTTACGTGGTACGTGCATGCTGCGTATTCACATCACATCCGTCTCTTCTATTTGTATGGAACGTGGTTGTTGACGCGATGCTGACTGGAACGAAGAAAAGCCTGCCCTCGGCCTACCCCCACCTTGCCCCGACCGCGCTGGACGAGCTCTCCGCCGACCTCAGCGCCCTCCTCCACACCACGCTCGCGCACCCCTCCCTCCTTCCTTCTAACCTCACTATCATCCCGAACAAAAAATCTTGGGTCGCTCACCTCGACTGCGTCCTCCGGAGCGACGGCGGCAACGCGCTCGACGCGCTCTTCGTCGCTGCCCGTGCCGCGCTGTGGGACACGAAGGTGCCGCGGACGCGGAGCGTAGAGTACAAAGCCCACGGACGTGGTGCGGGCGCGGGAGCGGCCAAGGGAGATGATACGGCAGCGATGGACGTGGAAGGTGCGGCAGCGGGAGAGAACGAGGACGCGAGCGGGTTCGACACCCGCCAGATCTTGCGCGCGACGGATTTCGAGCTGCCGGACTACTGGGACGAGGGCGAGCCGCTCGGGAACCGCGAACGGTGGCCCGTCTGCGTCACGCTCAACGTCGTACGTGCCCTACCACTCCTTTTCTCGTATGGAATGCGTGAGTTGACCGCGTGTGTTTGGCAGCTCCCGCCGCTATACTATCTCGACGCGACCGCGCCCGAGGAGGTGTCCACCCCGCTTCGCCTCGTGCTCCTCTTCTCCTTCCCCGCGACGCCGGCCGAGCCCGTGTTGCAGGGTATGCGCCTCCTCGGCGCCGGCGAAACGGATCTCAGCCTTATCTCAAAACTCATCTCTGTAAGCAAACGAGAGACTGTTCTCGATCCAATCATCGCATTTTTGCTGAGATACGGGGATGATCAGGAGGGACGGAAACACGCGCAAGAGCTGCATGCGGCGCTCGAGGTGAAGCTTCGAGACGAAGACTTAAGGCGGAATGAGAAAGCGCGGCTACGGTTCTCGACTAGATGACCCCAGTCGTCGAATGTTGTACCCACGTCATGCAAATCCGTTCTACTCTGGGCTCGAGCTGATGTCGTAATTCGACGTGCCCGTGGACAGCTAAAGCTTCGTGAGTTGAGCGACCGTGTCTTCCGTAGACGTGTCTCGTTCATTGATGCGGCGTCGGGAATCCGAGCTCAGTTGTATCCTTGTAGAATCGTTCCTGTTCGACGTCCCGGAAATGAGGTGTTGACCCGATCTTGCAATGCACCGCGCCATCGACATCAGAACCACCGTGTGTTCAATCCGGACATCGGCGGCGTTGAGTCGTGGTCCCTGCTCTCGTGGTGCTGTGTATGCCATCTGTCGCGAGAAACAATGAACATCGCCATCCGAATATTGGTGATATACTGATGTTCCGTCCAGCGGATGACCTGTCTGATTCAGACATCAACTTTGGAGCTGGCTGGGAGGGCTTCTGAGTGATGTCAAGTCGTAGTACATTGTAAGGTGAGCTATTATCAGACTCACACGTAATTGTTCAGTATATGAACATCAGGAAAAACCGGATTTGCTAAAAGCGTCCTAAAACGTATCAAAACGTGCTCATTTAGTGGCTTTAGAGGGTTTCGGTACCCAATAAGCGACTCTTTCGATAGTCCGACTTTTCCTGATGAACAAGATATCATCAAATTGTAATTTCAAGCTCGAATTTTACCTAGGTAGGGGATAATGTGTACCGTGGATGCATGGCGCGGGACTGTATTCGAACATCTTTGCTAATCCTATCACTGCTCGCTGGGCTGTTCTTCGTACTACCTCTTGACATTATCGCCACTTATCGAGATACTGCTAGTGGTTGCTCCGCAGGCATGCTCGCGGTAGCACTGTACTGGCACAAACACTATCATCATATGCATTCCTACCCGTTCCGTTACATTGTACATTGAGCAGACGTTCAGGCGGCGACGGCAACCACTGGATGACACTGCACAAAAATGGTCTCCACGCGGCTTCAGCACGTACGTCCTTTGTTGACTAGTCTGGCATGGTTTTAATGGAATAGTTGGCGCGCAGAGATATGCAATGATAATGAGTTCGGTTAAATCGTTATACCGAGACATTTACCTGAAAAGCGGCAAAACCAAAGACAAAACAAGATTAAAACCCGTCGTGCTTGCCGAAGACATCGATATCCTCAGGCAAGTCATCGACTAGAGATTACGTTAGCCTGCGGTACTGGGGCGCAGAGAGACTAGCGTACCCGAAGCAACTTCTCCTGTATTCACAGGGACTGCAGCGACCATGACCATGACCTGAAGAGTAACGATGACCAGAGACAGGCATCGAATGATAAGTGACTGCTGCATTGTCAGGTGCGGTAGAGGTGTCGACGGTGAGCTGAAGACCTTGCGTGAACTTGTCCAGTACTTATACAAGTTCAATACCGCAATAACAATGAGGCAGGATACCATACAAGGCACGCTTCCAGACGATGGAAATGCACTACCGTCTGATCTGGCATCCGAATCAACTCATGGATCCTAAGATTATACTTCTACGATAAGATATGGAATGTTCTCGAATCTATCCGTGTGTATATGGAGTCATCATTCCGTTACATCAATCTCATGCCAAGCAAGCATATGATACTCTTCCATGGAAATGGGAAGCCCACGTCAAAGAAAGGTTACCCGAGCCATGCGAGTGCCCTGTGTGCTTGCAAGGAAGCGTCTCTTGAAATGATAAGGTATGGCATGTAAGGGTATCTGCCAGCCAAACACGTGCGGCGGGGCAACGGGTTGTTCACCTATTGGACCTTGGCGGCGATATACCGACCTTCCAACGAAGAATACCGTCGTCATGTAAAAATATAACAGAACAGTGGCCTCTGGTACCACATTTCGGGCTCAATATTTGTCTCCATACGCTCCAGAGATATTGCATACATCACTTTGGGAGCTACTCGTAAACACTCTTTGACTACACATGCATCCATCGACGAGTAATATTCATGGCTTTGAGATCATCACCCACATTGGAAAACCACCGGAGACATTTTCATATTGCTCGTGGCTCTTGCTCTCATATTTCCAGTGCTTGTACATGAGCATCTGGACACAATGACGAGATGAGGGTATAAGCGACTGTTGATAATCAACGCGCTGCATGACGTACGTTCCGCTCTGTTTCGGTCTCGAGAACAACAGCCTTTCCCTCGGCGTGTGCCTATGAGGACATTAGCCTTGCCATTACGGCCTGTCAACTCATATCCTTACCTTCGGCACGATGGCTTGCATGAGGGCGGTACCTATGCCCTTGTTTTGTAGCTCGGGAAGAACTCCGAACATCTGGAGGTGCCAGGATGCCAGCTTCTGTCCTTCCCCTAGAGCGTGCTCGACTTGCTGCTCGTATTTAGGAAGAAACTGGAAAATTGAACATCAATCGCATGAAGTCGGGTGTAGGGGCCGAAATCATACGTATACTGTCCACCATTGAGAGAGCTCAGGCGGGAACTTCTTCTCCAGCAATTCGTTAAAACCAGCTTCTCCTTGATCTTCGCTGTGGGACAAAACAGAATGAACACCAGTAGAAAGTTACATTCGATGTAAGAAAGCGCGAAACCTGTCGAGTAAAACTCTACCCGGAGGAAACCATGCGGCAACACCGGCGATGTCAATATCGCCGTAACTTGCGAACCAGAGTTGACCTCCGATTGCTGTAGCGGCAATCGTGGCTCGCTGAAAGGCGAAGTTCAGCGACTGATCTCCTCCAATGCACGCATTGACGAAGGCATCTATCTCGCAGCAATTAGACTGTGACGTCACACATCCAAAAGCATCATCGCTGACCATCCTTGAACGCCTGTTCCAGAACTGTAGCGGCTCGATCCAGCTCAGCCGCTGTAAGATACCTGAGAGCATTACTCAACGAGGACCACGCAGTGACGTACAAGTTGGCTTGGCAGCGTGGCGAACTTGAATGGCGGACATCACAACGTCAGGTCACCTGGTGAGGACTTCGCCTGACTTCTCGCCTTTATATGATACTACGTGCATCACAGATCCGGCAGCGCCCATCGGCCGCCTCCTTTTCTCTCCACAATCATGCACTTCCGAGCCAGCAGAAGAGCAACTATACCAGTCTCGTCTCTCCCGTTCCAAGAATACTTTGCGCAGCGTTACATGTCACTAATTTATCCGCTCACTGCCCTACAAGCTTCTGGAGTTCGATCGCAATAGAAACGCCCGGTATCTTCGCGTGCTTAGCTGTGTGACGGGACGCTGGACTGATCTAGTCATGTCCCACTGAGGTAATTCATGTCCCACTGAGGTAACCTCGCTCCAGCTGCGCTTCCCGTAAAGTGCGTCAACGACTTCCTCCTTGCCCCGATCCCGGTCAAGTGACTCTTGTGATCTTCAGAGAAAGTAGTATACTCTGTTTGTGTACTCTATGTAGTATCATGAATATTCTCTAACTCATGCTCATATGCAGTCAGGAGTCGGGACCCACGGCTGGCGCCAGCTTACACACGTTGAGGTATGGCGATAACCGCATGCATGTTGCCCAATCGGGAAGGAGCCGCTTCGTGAAGTCCATGTAGCATCAATCCATTGCTATCGCTCCTCCATCTGCCGCGCCGTTCGTGTTCTTTCTCGAGAGAACGACGGACCTTGCGAGTAGGCGCATTAACCATGCTAGGCAGCCGTGGACCCTGGGCTTCACACTCGTGCCTGAAGACCTCCGCTGGCAGCTCGCACCACCGACTTCGCGCAAGGGCGCTCGGAACTCGCCAGTCTTCGGATATTGTTGGAGTGACCGCCGTGACGCACTTGAAACGTACGACGATTACGTTACACATGGCACTGCGAGGGTCCATGCTGTCCTCGTTCACTGACGCTCGCTCAACGATTTACTTATATCTGGAAATTGATTGGACAAAACTAGTGCAGTTCCGTCGGTGGATCTAGGCTAGCCAACAAGGAAGACGGATGTCATGTGGTGGAACTTCCATCTGAACTGTGCGTGAGTTCTCCGGACAGCCTTGCTTTCACCCCTGAACCTTGTGCATTGCCATCAGTAACTTCACACTTCGAACAGGGCCGCCCTCATTCCTGCACTCAGCGACCCTCTCCCCCGACGAGAATTCCCCTTGACCCGAGCTATGCAATCAATCACCTGTGCAGGATGGGATTGATCCTCAGTCCGGGGATGTGATAGCTCTGGCCAGTTTCGGGTACAAGCAAGAGTTTAAACTGGTCTTCGGCGCTATTGAAATTTTCGGTATCGTATTCATTTTCGGTATCGTATTCTCTGCACTGTGCATTTTGCCGGCGCTGTCGTGCGTGATCAGGTTCCTGCGTTCAACAACGTATCGAATAATGCCACCAGGACCGTACTGGTTCTCACGTACAGAACATCACGTCACAGAAATCCATATATCAAGCATGTGACAGTCAATACAGAGCAGGGAGGACACGCAGCTCACGCAGCTAAGTCTCGGTCTTTGCGAAGTTGGTTATACTACAAAGTGGCCTTCTCACCGCTAACGACAAAGCTCGGGAGGGATTCAGAGGGATTCAAAGCGTGCTCGGCGGAGTTCTGCGACGAAATATCCACAGCTGGTATCGACCAGTTCGTTGTGGCCTGGGCTTCAGGGTCTCGTCTGCTACGGAGGCGCAATGGCGTCATAGGCACAACCTTCGTTGAATCGGAGGCGAACGTATCGCCGGTGGTCGTGACCATCTTCGCCGTATCTTTGGTCCACGCGCGTCCTTGGCATGTGCGCATGATAATCAGGAGGGGTGCAATGGACTAAGTCGCTCATCAGCATTGTATGCACGGACCGGACGAGCGGGATGCATACCTGCACCTGACCGAGGACCGGTAAGAAGATGTTCTGAGCTGGATCGTTTCTGGCGTAGGTGATTATGAATGCCAGTCCGACCGCGCAGTACAGAAACGCAGATTCGACGAGGATGGTGGAGATAGAAAGATAGGGACTGCGATGGTGAGGCCCCATCACTTTCCTCAGCTTGTACCGCATGTACAGCAGGCGCACGACGATCAAGGTCGTGAGTAGTAGTGTCGCTCCTATGGAGATGCACCAGTACGTTAGCGCGAACTTGACGCTTAACTGCTTCCATATATTATCGCCAGGTTCTGCAATTTGCGACAGTAGAAGGCATGACATGACTGGAGATAGTCACAATCAGTACTTCTTGAGATGATTCGATTGTGCTCCTTTCTTACCGACAGACACCGTATAGAACACGCCAGGGATGGCTGTCAGCCATAAGTTTGAGTTCCAGATTAGATGAAAACGATAAAGCTGTGTTACGGTATCAAGCTGTGCACATGTAGGGATTAAGCTTTGGCGAACCAGTAGTCCATCCTGAAGCCAAGTGTTGACAATGTAGACACCGTAGCTCAGGACGTTGATCCAAACGCCGTTCTGCTCAACGAAGTAGGCATTCGGGCCACCCGGATAGTCTCGATTGTCAACAAAGACCATCTCATTGAACTTGATGTTTGCCGCATTTCCCAGTGAACCCAGAATAAAGAGCATGACGATATACACGAGCATGGCGTAAGACCGCTTCGGATGCGACTTCAGCTGCTTAATCAGAAGGTCCAAGCAGATAAAGAACAGCGTAGCATGAACACCTGCGGACGGATGATCGTTGAGTTTCAACAAGGTGCAGCACAGCCGAAGAGATATGCACCATAGCCTACGCCGCCGAGAACGGCTCCGTTCAGGTTCTCCCTCTCTGACAGAAGGTCTGCTTCAGTCTCGTTTGCTGGAGCCCACTTTGAGACGCGAAATGTTGACATGGAGAAACGATCACGGGGAACATCTAGCCCGAGGAATGGTGATCGAGCGATTTAAGTGTCCGTAGGGCTGACATAACGCTGTCCAACAAGAATCCATCCTCTTCGACTGCTAACCTTCGAGCCGACGTATGTGAAGCTTCGCCCTACATGCAACCACTACATCACTGATGTAGAGAATCCCTGTAATACCGAGTCGTAATGATAACAGCCTTGCGATAATTATGGAACGAGTTCACCTGAAGCTCTGTATATGGATTCTCTCTCCAGATAAGCGGGGATGCACAGCTTGTCCACGAGTTACTTAACCATGGTATGCTTCTACATATGGATAGAAGATTTGTGCGGAGATACGTAGAATCTAGGCGGCCCATGTGTAAAGTTCGTTTTGGCATGGTAGTCTCGCGGAGATAGGATCATTGCCGTCATGCGTGTGGCCGCCTTCGTGGCGGGTCTCAATTCAGCGTCGTGGCGTCGTGTGGCAGTAAAGACTGATTTAGGTGTGTGCACATGGGACTATTTGCACTGATATGTGCACGAGAATTCTCCATAGAGGTATTGTTTCCGATACGAGTGTGAGGCTGGAGTCGGCATCGTTGTGTCCGGGAACAGCGTGTCACACAGACCGAAATATCCTTCAGTATGTGAGTCGGCATTTGTGAATCATCACGATGAACAATCGATTGGGATGGTATTCATGTATGCTTCGATTTCTGAATTAGGGTCCGGACTGCTGCTCTGATGTTGCAATGATCATCGAAGCATAGACAGAGTTCCTTGCTCATCGGGGTTGGAGCCGCACTCGGTCCTTTGCATACCGCCTTCTGTGGCTGCCAGCACTTGATCAGCACTTGATCACCGTTCCTAGTCTCTGACCCTGGCTTCTTCCTCCGCCGACACGCAGTACAGCACGACTGCACAAAATCGTCCTGCAATCCCCTCGGATCACCCGGGCTACATACATCAGAGCATTTGATAAGTCTCCTGTAACCAATCCTTCTCCCCCATCCGTCTCAGGTCGTTTTGTGCATGCCGCTTCATCATCTGCTTCAAGGGCGAAAATCTCTTCGGATGCGAGCTACGCATCCTTTTGCACTGTTTTCATTGCTCATCGTGAACCTTGGAATATGGCTTGCAATCTTGAAGACGAAATATGCGAGTAATAATACATTGACAGTAGACGGTGCACATTGTGAGCACTTCCACTGTACACCCGACGTGACCGAGCTTCAACTTCGCAATACAGCATTCATCGGGGATGACTTCCCAATGTGGTTGCAGAGGGATATCAGTCCCGCAGAGATGACGTTCGAGGAGAGCGTCCGTTTGAAGGTGGACGGGTCTCTGGCCGGCGCAGAGTGGTTCTCACAGCGAGTCCCGGCCAAACACGCTGGGTACATCCAGCTTGGCCCGGAGAAACGTCTTTTTGCGGTGGCGATGTATCACGAGCTTCACTGCGTCAACACGTTCCGTAAAGCATTGGCGGACCCAAAAGATGCGGATGGAACACCTCACCACGTCCAGCACTGCCTCAATTATCTTCGCCAACTCTTCCTTTGTTCCGCGGATGCTACTCTCGAACCCTACGATTGGACGTTGAGGAACTATACCCAGGAACCAGTAGGCATTACTCGCCAGTGTAGGGACTGGACTGTCGTCTATGAGCGGATGGAGGAGAGCTACGATTCGTGGGTGCGCTTTCAAAGGAATAGACAGCACGGGGTGAGTACTTCGATGTGATTTGCGGAGCTGTGGACTCATCTCCGCGCAGGATTCTAGTGCTGGACAGGAACGGAAGCCTTGACGGGACTCGAGCTAGGATGTGCTGCAAATACTCCACGCCAGTATCAAGACACATACTGATGTACGCCCAGAAGCGTCATGTTCAGAGAGAATATGTCAAAGGTTCCCATCGAGGCTATTCTTGAATAGGAGTGTAATATACTGTGCTGTACCAGGAGATACGCGGAAGCTCGAAGGTTGTGTCCATACCAGTGCGTGCGGATGCACAGTAACATGTGAGTACGATGCGCGAAAACCGACCAAGGACCTCACTCAATCACTGAGGACCATATGCGCTTACATCATTGCAAAATCAGTAAACAAGGTTTCTGTCTCAGCGTCCTCGCAGTAGAAAACAGTCGTGAGTGCGCGTACTTACCATGGTATTACACATCGATCCATCGGCTGCTGCGCCCTACCAGTGCGTCGCAGCCTGCGATTCATGACCTCGTCTTCCATGGAACCGCAATGGCGTCATAGGCACGACCTTTGTCGAGTCGGAGGCGAACGTAGCGCCGGTGGTCGTGACCATCTTCGCCGTATCTTTGGTCCACGCGCGTCCTTGGCATGTGCGCATGATAATCAGGAGGGGTGCGATGGACTACGTCGCTCATCAGCATTGTTTGCACAAACTCGACGAGCGGACTGCATACGATAGGAAGATGTTAGGGTTAGATCAGCACATTCGCCGTCGAGTTCGGGCGACAGGGAGCCTATCATCAATGTACACGTGACACAGCCGAAAGCCGATAGCACAGCAACTGGCTGTTCCGCTACCGGGACCTCGTCGGCAATCTACCTACCTACTCGGTTCGCAGGCTTCACGTCTCCCCAGGTCGTGGTCGATGACATTGGCGAATACAATGCGTCTTTGGCAACCAAACACAACATCACAAGCTTATGCCAACATACACACTCCGGACACCGTGGACGTTTCATCCCCCCGTCAACTACCCCAGGCGGCGGTGCATCGTCACGATGTCGCGTGTTGCAGAAGGAAAACACCTGTGGACCGCGACCCGTCAGGCTTACTACCTCGGAACGTAGTCGCTATCAACACACTCAGAGCTGGATGCGTACCTTTGTTCCCGGATGACCGCCGATTCTGCCAGAATTCGACGGCGCAGCTGCTAGTCCCCACGTCTCCCGCAGCGCAGGCGAATTCGAACGTCTGGAGCGTATCTGACG